CTGTGATTTTATGATTAATGGACTGGTTGTTTCCAAAGCTAATGGTATATCTGTAGTTTTACCTGCAGTTGGAAACATAAAGTCATAGGTACCAAGGTGGGTGGGATGGTCCATGAGCTTTCATCAAAAGTGCTTTAATATCTGTTTGTCATTGCTGCATGGCAAAGCACTATCTTACTTTCCAACTTTTCTAGTGAGCCAGTAAATGAGAGAAAAATCTGCAGACCAAGCAACTCCTTGTAGAAGTAAGATTTAGATAGCTAATTAACCAGTTAAGTAACTGACTAGATCTGATTGATTAGTAGTTAATAGTAAGGTTCTTTCAGGATAAATTGATCTCTATTATCCCAAAGGACAATTATGAGCTTATGATTATTTTTCCCCTGCATTGTTGCAAGAACCTCAGTTAGAGGTAATGTGGTAGCTGAGGACTATTACGTAAGGCTGTCTCCTTGACACAGGACAGTGCTTCAAGCACTGCTATAATCTGGGCCAATGCTATTCTTAATGCCCGGTAAGTGAGATATGTGATTAAGTAATCATTGATTTTTTAGGGAAATTTCTGTAACACTATCACTAGTTTCAGATCGCCTGTCAATTCATTGCCCATTGAAGTTCAGACTGTTGTAGGCAGTCAAATAAACAGGAAGCAAGCAGAGAGGTTAAAGCTGGTGACCAGTGTGAGAAATGTAAACAGAAGGAAGGCAAAAAGGTTATTTTCCAGGTTGTCTTACAGCACTGACTTGGTGCTTGGTAAAGCAGATTTTGGTTTTTTTAGTAGTTTGTGTCAATGCCATCTGAACAAGAAATGAACTATGCACATTTTGGGTGCTTCTGCAACACAAATAGTTTGTGTCATGTTGCATATCTCAAATATTTTGCTTAGAAGCAGGAAGGCATATGCCCACTCTGGATGTCATCTGAGGGATGCCTGGAAGGCATGTCTGGCAGGCTTATACCAATGTCATTGCAGATCAACATGCTCATCTTAGCTTGTAACTGGCAAGAAACAGTGTCAGGCCTCATGGATTTTGATTTCCAGAAGAGAAATATTATTAATGAAATAAGATTCCTTTTTGCAATTAGAATCATTGGAACCTCAGTGGTTTTTTTCCCCTTTTTTTCCACCCTTAGTGTTGCCTTTGTTCTTTAACAGAGATATTTCTATTTATTTCAGAAGGGATGACATATTCAAATGGAAATGATTGCAAAGTATTTATGATAAGTCACTTGCTGTATTTCCACATTTGTTGCATCAGCTATTACTCATGTAGGTACTTGTTTATTACTTTTCTTGAAAGAGCAGAGGTGAAGTGGGACTAATAAAGCTATGCAAACTGATATTTATATTTAAGTTGTTGAATCAAAATAAAATAAAATAAAACAACTCAAAAACTTGAATTAGAAATCTTTTAGCTGAAAACACTTTTGACATAATATACTCAGTCTGAAATTAAATGAGCTGTTTCAGGCACCTCTAAGAAGAATGAAAGAAATGTAGGTATGGTTTACAAACTGATAGTGTGAATCATAGAATGGTTCAGGTTGGAAGGGACCTTAAAGATCACTCAGTCCAACCTCCCTGCCATGGGCAGGGACACCTCCCACTAGACCAGGTTGCTCAAACCCCTGTCCAACCTGACCCTGAACACTTCCAGGGAGGGTGGATCCACAACTTCCTTGAGCAACCTGTGTCAGTGTCTCAGCACCCTCACAGTAAAGAATTTCCTCCTAATAGCTAGTCTAAATCTACTCCCTTCCAGTTTAAAACCATTCCCCCTTATTCTTTCACTACCTACCCTTGAAAAAAGTCCCTCTCCAGCTTTCCTGTAGTACCCCATCTGGAACTGGAAGGCTGCAATAAGGTCTCCCTGGAGCCTTCTCTTCTCCAGGCTGAACAGCCCCAACTCTCTCAGCTGGCCCTTGTAGGGGAGGTGCTCCAGCCCGCTGATCGTCTTTGTGGCCATCCTCTGGACCCACTTCAAAAGTTCTATGTCCTTCTTATACTGGGGGCCCCAGAACTGGATGCAGTACTCCAGGTGGGGTCTCATCAGAGCAGAGTAGAGCGGCAGAATCACCTCTCTTGCTCTACTGGTCACACTTTTTTTGAAGCAGCCCAGGATGTGGTTGGCCTTCTGGGCTGCAAGCGCACACTGCTGACTCATGTTGAATCCATCCCCTTTGATTTTGTCCAGTAGATCTATCATGTTTTATCCTCCAGGAAGTGAGAGATTCAAGTTTGTTTTCTCCTTTATAAAGCTATTTGAAGTGGGAGAGGTTTCATTATGCCTTGTTTACTTTTTTTCTTTGATTTATTCTGCTTTCCAATTTCAATGAATTGAATATCCATTGCAGTAGACTGCAATCCTGGTGCACGTTTTCCATGTGGGTGCCTTAATCTCTTGGCTGGAGGGTTTTCCTCTCTTGCTGTTTCTAGATCTCATCTCATTGCAAATGGAGAGGCTTAGGGAAAGTGCTGGAATTCCACATCCTCACCTTGGTGCTTAGAGTATGCCTTTGGTGGTGAGACACTGCTTCAAATTCAATGTCCACCTGAGTCAGGAAAAGGATACACACATGGGTGTCTCCAGTCTGTAGTATAACACCCTGAATGCCATGAAACCAGGTAGTTTGGGCCAAGTCTTCTCCTGCTGTAGCTGTTCCAGTTAAGAACTGAGATGACCTACTGGTGGTATGAACACGAGCATTGTTTTCTACTAACCTCTCACTGGCTTGACAAGCTCCTGAGCTCAGGTACAGTCTCTGTGGGCTGGGAAGCTCTTCTGCCAGCAAAACTCCTGGGTTGCCATGGTGTGACCACTTATCATCACACCAAGGACATGCAAGAGGCACAGCTCAACAGGGGATGCTAACTGCAGTGTCTGGAATGGGAATATTAGGAGATTGGGAGCTATGATTCCTGGACACAGCCCCTGCAGATTCATATTGGATCATCCAGTAAGGTGGGTATAGACTACCTGTACTTGTGTGGCAGTATTTATCCAGCTCCTTCTTCTAATTCACCTGTCTGTTTAGAAAGGACAGATGGCTTTCCCACAGTGCACCTGCAGAGAATTGAAAGGAAACACTTATTTTACTGGGTGCAGAGATAAACAGGTTATGCCCTTCTGAAATGTTGGTTTTGCAACACTTGAGTACACTTGAGTGCACATAAAAATCCTAGTGCTATTTCACAGTGTAACTAATCTCACTCAGGCTGGGTTTACTTTGGAGAAATAAACTGAGGTTATGTGTATAAGAGTTACTTCTGCAATGAATGTGTTGGTTTTTTTATCTTTCTTTACATGGAATAATAAATTATACTCTTAATTAGAATGAGACAGAAGTCAATGATGCTTTTGAAAATTGGATGCTCACTCAAAGATTGCTTATCCAGTTTCTGGAAGCTAAACAAAAGTTCGAGTTAAAGTCACTGAGAAGGTTCTGCTGAAATCTATTTCTATTCCTTTGGCACAAAGCATGCAGGCAGAAACATATCCTTGCCAATTAACTAACACTTCTCCTCCTGTTCCTGGTACCCTGGTTGATTCAAATCTATGCAGTTCATATAATTACATCCTACCCTCCTTAAACCCAAAGCACACATGAAATGAAGAAATGACAGGAAAAAGGCCACATGTCACAATAATTACTATAATTTTGTCTGTTATTCCCTTGTTTTCTGGCTCGGTATTTGAGGCTCGATGTCAATTTGCTTATATAACTAAAGGTGTTTCCTCTGCTTGTTTATACCAGCTATGATTTCTAAACATCCTGGAAATTATTTGCCGTAACATCTCTCCTCATCTTAATATTACTTTGGTTTGAGCCACTTACAGAAAGTGCTTCTTTCTATTTTTGAATAGAAGCAGTTGGGAGACAGAAAAAAAATATGTATTTGTTTGCCTTTCTATTTTTGGTTTGAAATTGCTGGAAGCCAGTAGGTGGGTTTTTATTTTCTGTTTCAAGATTTTTATTTTCAAACTAAAACAAGTACTATGTATGAAGAATAGCACATATCTTAAATTATTGGTTTTAGTAACAGGAAAAAGTTCTTGTTAGAAATTCTTCTGAAGTGTGGCTCTATTTCTAGAAATCCTTTCTTGTTCACTGCAACAGTCTTGTATCCTCTCCCATTTCACTGAATGATTCTTTCATGTGCAGAGGGGTGAATTTTATAGGAACCTGCTGGCACTAAAAATTTGGTATGTTTTCCTTTGGCTTATACACTGCACTGATTCTTTCATCATCCAGCCAAAGGAAAATCACTTAGGGAGTTTACTATTTGTTGCAATACCGAGTGAAGTCACCTGAACTGTCACCTAAATGGATAACTACTAATTTTGTGTATCTTTGGAAAATAAACCCTAGCATCTGCTGTTGAACTGCCCAGATTTTGCTCTCCAAAAGGGAAAACTGCAATTCATTATAGAATGGGTGATCCAATATGAGATCTCACCCTATTCAGGAGAGCAGATGGATTAGCTAATTATAATTCCCAGAAAACACTGGGAATTACTCAGCCAAAATGGAACTAAAAATCTTAGAGTTTTCTTTCAAAGTAAAAACCAAAACAAAACAAAGCACATACCTCTATCTCCAGTTTTATTTATTTATTCTCTATTCTTTTCCAACCCCAAAACCTAACCCAACCAAACAAAAAGTAAGCCCCCCCAACCACATCCATGAGTTTTATTCTGTTTCATAGAAAAGCTTGGAGAGCTTTGAGTTAGTGTTCCTTATCACTGATGGACTTCTAAATCAATAAAATCATTTCACATAACATAGTATTAACTTTGGAAAGATCTTTTTTTGGGTGGTGGTTGGAGTAGGGAGGGTAAAGTTGACAGGTCAAAGCATATTTACATTTTTTTTTTAACTCTAGTGCTAAGACTCATGTTATATGAAAATATAACACTGAACAAAAAATTATAAAGCAAAAATAAGTAAGCAAAAATTTCTCTTCTTACAGCTCTCCTTACAGCTTTTTGAAACCATTCATGGAAGCTGATGGAAGCACTTTTGTAAGTAAACTTGAAAATACATTAGAGTTACTGATCAGCTGAAGAGGTTGCATGTTGTGTTTGTGTCCTTATAACCATAGAAGACTTTGGACAACATCAATATTCAGACAAAGTCATGGTTATGGGCTAGGCCAAGTGGTGAGACTGCCACAGCCTGCCTCAACTCTGCTTTAGGGATGAAATTAAGTTTATATTTTGGACTTGATGCCGGGGTGCCCTCACTTCCAAGTCCTACCCCTTAATGGATGAGAAAGCAGTAGCTTAGGGCACATGGTCTTAGCAAAGGATTTTCTTAGCCACACATCTGTCTAGCCCTTGAGAAGCTTAAGGAAAGCACAGCTCTGTAGAAGATGAGCTGTCGGTCATAGCTACTTTTGGTGCCTTCTCAGACTCATGCATTGTGAGTCAAACTTCATTATACATGAGGTCTTCAGAATTAGCCTAATGCCCCTGCTTTCGCTTGTAGAACGTTTTTTGCTTTACCCCGAAACAGCCTCACTTTTTTTCTCCTGGGAAGCTTGCAGTCTGTAAGCCCCTCAGTCTCCAGGCAGAAGCATCCCATAAGATGATCCTCAGCTGCTTCTGACAGCTCCTCAGAGGGATGCTCCTCACCCAAGCTTGGTTCCCAGCAATAATTATTTAAGACCACCCATTTGGAAGGAAGACAAGAAACATGTAGCATCTATGCTATATATTTGGAAATCCTTGTTATCAATCAAGGACAAGGTAAGGGGAGCCACAGTGGTGTCGGCCCAAGGAAGCTCTAGCAGCTTTTAATGAGTGTGATCAGCTGTCCTTGACCCAGGGAGCCTGGAGCCTTTGATGCAGCTCCCTCTGATTAGGGAGAGTCAATCACCCTTCAGTGCTCAGGAGGGACCTATCTAAGAGCCAGATCCAGAGCGCAGCAAATGGACCCAGCAGTTTGTGCAGCAGGGCGTGAAGAAGGAGCCTCAGCTGAAATTATGCTGCTGTAACAGTCTTGGGCATGGTGGTATCAGGGCAGCTTTTCTAACAGATGTGGGAACAGTTGTCCCTGCTTGGGGACAAATTGAGCTTCAGATGTCAACCTTCCAAGTCCCAAGCTTCAGGGAGTTGCTGGGACCTCTCCCTGAGGCCAGGAGAGATGGCCCTCTGCCCTGCAGGAGGCGCACCATCTTGGAGGAGCTGTGCTGCCAAGTGGAGGAGATACAGGAGGAAGTGAGAAGGTTTTGCAGCATCAGAGAAGATGAAAGGCAGACAGATATGGACTTCTCTAAGACCCAGCAGCTTAAAGAGCCTCAGTCCCTACCTGAAGTAGAGAAGCAGGGAGTGTCTACCCCTACGATCAAGGTAAGCAAGACCTCTGGAGAAGAGGAAGGATGAAAGTTGATGACCTATGGTAATAAAAAGAAAGCTCTGGCCCCACTTAAGAACGTAAACCTGCAAAATAAGTAAACTACCCTAAAAATTGAAGAGGAGCCAGATGTGCCTATTAACAAAAGGCCTGGTTCACCTGACCATAAATCATGAAAGGCTACCAGGAAGAAATGGTGAGTCATTGCAATGGGTGACCACCTGCTGTGAGGAATAGAGACACCCATCTGTAGGCCAGATCAACCATCTAGAGAGGCTTGCTGCCTGGTAGGGGCCAGGATCCATGGTGTTGTGGAGGAACTGCCAAAGCTTGTCCTGCCCTCTGACTTCTACCCCTTACTGTTATTACAAATTATAGTGCAAGGGGAAGACAGCATATGCCGGAGGCTGCCCAGCTGTAAAGCAGCTTTGCAGAAAAGGACCTGGGAGACTTGGTGAATGCCAAGTTGAACATGAGCCAGAAATATGCCCTTGCTGCAAATAAGGCAAATAGTGGCCTTGGCTGCATTAGGCAAAGTATTGCCAGCCGGTCAAGTGAGGTGATCCTTCCCCTTTATTTGATGCTTGCAAAGCCACATCTGAAGCCCTGTGTTGAGTTCTGGGCTTCCCAGTACAAAAGAGACATGGACATACTGTAGATAGTCCAATGAAGGTCTACAAGGATGATTAAGGGGCTACAGAATCTAATGTACAAGGACTGGCTGTGTAAGCTGGGACTGTTTAGCTTGGGGAATCTTATTAGTAGATCTTATTAAAGCATGTGAATACCTGAAGGTAAGGTGCAAAGATCCTGGAGACAGGCTTTCTTCAGTGGTGCCCAGTGACAGGGCTAGAGACAACGGGCACAAACTTGAAACACAGAAGGCTCCACCTGAACATCAGGTGTAATGGACAGCAAGCTTGAAGCCTGCATTGTCCTGCAGGATCTCTAGTCCATCCTGTTCAGCCCTCAGATCTCAGTCAACTGATGAGTAAACCAAAACCTACCAAAAAAGTTTAAAACCTACCCTGTATTTCCATCCTTGCACAAAAATGACAACCCTCCTAAAGCTGTAAATAACCATAACGTTTTGCATTTATTTCAAAGCTTTCTGAGGATTATTGCTCTCAGATTTTCCTAGGTAACAACAAGAACTCGAAATAGATATGGGTATTTTTGATTTAATTTTTCAGTTGAACCTATAGTAATGAAATAAATTACTCACAATCGGGAAACTGAGTTTTATAGAGCAACATCCACCATTGTCAGAAGCATAGTAAAACTGTGACATCTGCTTCAGTTTCAGATTGTTGCAGTGACTGTGTCTGGTAGTTACAGTACATTCATGTCTGAAACAGCTGTTACTCCCCTGGTCAGTACCATCAGGTTTACTGGTAGTAACTCTGCCTTCCACAGTTTTCTCTTTGTTCTGCACTGGTGTTAATGTCTCCTATTAGGAGTAAAATGATAGAGTATCTCTTAAATAATGTTCAGCCAGGTTCACCAGAATGAAAAGTTTCTGACTCTCATAAGCCAGATTTCAGAGGGGAAAGTTTAATTTACTTTTTGAGGAAAGGTTTGCCACTGAAGACTTGCAAATATGTTGTATTCTTGTGGAAAACTGAATCCAAATCCTACTGGTGAGACTTCTTATAATACACTCGTTTAAATATAGTTTTTCTATTGGTTTAAAACCTTATCACCCTCTACAACCACTTGAAAGGAGGTGGATGTGGGTCTTTTCTCCCTAGTGACAGGACAAGAGGAAATGGCCTAAAGTTGTGCCATGGGGTGTCTAGGTTGGACATTAGAAGAAACTATTTCACTGAGAGGTTGATTAAATACTGGAATAGGTTTCCCAAGGAGGTGGTTGAACCACCATCCCTGAAGGTGTTCAAAAGGTGCATTGATGTGGTACTAAGGGACATGGTTTAGCTCCAGATTTGGTAGAGTTAGGTTACAGTTGGACTTGATGATTTTAAAGGTCTTTTCCAACCAAAAAATTCTATTATTCTAAGATTATAAAACAGTTTCACTGAAAACTGTTTCTTTATTTCATAAAATATCTGACTCCAAACACTCATGCTTTGGAGAAAGAGGTTGCTTTAGCTTATTTAAAAAGCAACAAAATTTGGGAAGGCAATTTTGTGAATAACACCAGATTTCATTGCTGAAGTCTCAGACTGGAAGTTTCTCTTGTGCAGAGCAAAACTTAATTTTTAATAAGATGACATTAGGCTTCTGAACAGCACTAAAAATATTTAAAGGTTGCTGAAATCTTTCGTTAGTATTATTTAAAAAAAAAATCTCAGCTTTCAGCAACCCTGGGAAATCTATCTTGATTCATGAAATCTCACTCAGCAATTTTATTACAGATTTGTCACTGGTTTTGTCCAAGCAAACTAAATGCAGTGCTGGCTGGGAGAACTGCCCTTCCTTCCTCCATTAATTTCCCAATTTCTTCCACAAAATAAGAGATGGGAATCCATCACCCCTGTCAACTTGCATTAGGCAACCATCACTGCTACTGAATGATAAAAGCATATTTGTAAATTCTCTGGGCACTCTGAGCTCTTACTAGGTGATCAGCTTCTTTCTCAGTCTGTATAAAAAGCCAGCTGTCGTAGTTTAGGCCCAGTGCATAACTGAGCATCACAATGCCCCAAAAAAGGGCTAGTCAAAATAAGGACTGGGAGGGCTTCTCACCACTTAAACAGGTCACAGGCAAAAGACAGACTCACCATAAGGAATAAAAAAAAAGCAACAAAACAATTTTAATTTGTTACCAACATCAGAGTAGAACAATGGGAGATACAACCAGATCTTAAAGTCAAAACACCTTCCCCCCACCCCTCTCTTCTTCCTGGGCTCAGCTTTTGTTCCCGGTTCTTTCACCTTCACCCTCTCCCTTTGCCTTGAGCTGCAGGAGGATGGGAGTGGGGGGTTGCAGTCGGTCTTCCTGCCATGCCATGTGCTTCTTAGGAGAAGGGGGAAAAAAGCAAACAACTCAGCCCAGTGTCTCTCTCTCTGCTTCCACGTGGCCGCCTTTCCATAGGAGAAAAAGTCCTCAAAAGTCCAATATGGGTCTGCCCACAGCTGCAGTTTCCTTCACACACAAAACTGCTTCAGCCCAAGTCGATAAAACTCCAATCTGGGTCTGCCCATGGTCACAGTTCCCTCACACGCACGACTAGTTAACCCGGCTCTTGCCAAGGGCTGCAAAGGGGAAACCTGGCTTCTGTGTTCGTCGTCCTCCTCCTCCTCCCTCTCTTTTCTTTCCTTCAAAGTGACCTTGGTTCAAACCTTCAAAGTTGTTCTCCTCAGGCCCCACTCCTTTCTCTGCTGCAGGTCTCCTCCGATGGTTATGGAGAGCCTGTCTCTCTCTCTTTTTTTTTTTTTTTTTTTTTCCAGGAGTACTTAGGTTTTATTTCTTTAAGTATCCAACGGATGAAAGCTGCAGCGGGGCTTGTGGTCGGGGCTGGCCTTGCTGCGCCACCTGCACCTGGGGCGTGCTGGTCAGGGCCAGTGCCAGAGAAAGAGAAAGGCATGCCCTGCACCTCCCTTAAACACATGAATTAGCAGGGGCTCTGATTGGCTTGGCCCTGGTCAGAGGTGGGTCTGACAAAGGCAAAGAGGGAGCTTTTCAGGTAGCTTCTTAAAGGGCCATCTCCATAACGCTCTCCCCATTACCAAAGACACAACCAAAAACCCCTCACAGAAAAACCCAATACACCAGCCCTAACAGATTATTTACGTAATATGGATATTAAACCTTTCTTGACAGATAAGTTATAGACCATGTTATTTTACTTTAGATCATCAATATGGTTAGTGGAAAGATCTACTTCTTCCTCAGTTGTTTACAGAGAGCTACATCCTGTCTCAGTATGGCTCTTCTTGTTGTGCAACTTTATGTTGGTAAAAAATTAAATGACCTCACTGTAGTATCATGGCAAAAACGTGACATTGCCCTATTACAAATTTTTTGTACAAATTTTTTTTTCCTTAATACCACTTTGGGTAGCTCTAAGTGAAAGTAATTAGTGTGACTGTGTGACCCATTGATTCACTGAGGCCATATATTATTTCCATATGTCCTAAGTGGGGCTTTACTTTCTTTGGAATAAAGACATGAGAGGTGGCCCTCTATAGGATGGGGAAATTACAAAACCTTGAATAGAGCTGATGTGTTTTCTCATTGCTTTTGTTCATCTGTTGTCATGGAGAATAGTCTGAAAGAGCGGCACTGGTAAAAATAATATTTTTTTTTTAAAAAGGAAAAAGTAATACGCAATGATTAAACAGGAGTCTAGGATGATTTATTCCCAGTAAAGCCTCCCACAACTGTGGTGTTCAGGTCACTTCAAATAGATACTTGGTAGGCACATGACTGTGATATGCAGTTCAGCACTCTGTTGCATGCTGCAAAATCACTGGTTAGAGAAAGTTCAAGCTCTGTTAAATACTGGTGGCAGTGGTCTCTTCTATTACTGCTTCCTGATAGTGTAGCTTTACGCACCTTTAATTTGCTTGTGAGAAGAGCCATCAAATCCATCAAGAATAATACAAAATGGGGTTTTGTTTTCCTAGAAAAGCCGCCTGCCTAGGCAGAGAGGCTGCATTAGGGATGTTCACAGCGTAGCTCTGCAGCGGATCAGGTAGCTACCAGCTTTGCATAGCAACGTTGTGGCCGAACATATTAAATCCTATATCACCTTATCCAGCATTTTTCATCCAGATGTTTCAAAACCCTCCTAAAAATAGAAAAAAGGATAGGCTTTTGTTCCCATGTTAGAGATGGAGAGGTCGAGGCAAAGAGAAGTCAAGTGCTTTGTCCACAATTGCACAACCCACCAGCCTGTCTGGTGAGAATTTATTCAAAAAGCCAGACCTTACATTTCTAATGATCTCTTTTTTGGTCTGTGGTCTTCTGCTTTAGTTTCATTTTCTCTATGTATATGTGGGATGAAATGAGTAAATGCAAATGAGTAAATATAATTTGATTGTGTTATTTTTTGCAGTAACTAAAACTCTCATATATGGCATGGCGTATTTCTGGCATATTTATGTTTTATGGTTTGGATAATCCGCCAAGTTTGTGTGATTTCATTTTTTTTCAAAGAAATATTATGAAGCTCTTATAGAGAGGGAAGCACATTCTCTTCACTGAATTAAAAAAGAGGAGTGGAAAATTCTATATTTTTCTTTTTCAGGATTTCTTACAATGAGCTAAAGGACAATCAGACACCTGGCATGTATTTTTAATCTCCCCACATTTATTTATTCCCCTTGTGGAGAGTAATAAAGATTAAAATGTTGGAGTCCTAACTTCTATTTTTTAACTTCTAAACACAGAATACAATTCAGGCATACACACAGCAAAGTAGAAGCTTCCCGTGGGTGTGAAACAGGAAGCACTAGTAGATAGACACATGTATAATAGTTACGTTTGCTCTTGCTTAACTAGATATACATCAATTTTAATTAACATGTTTTATGCTTCAGCTACTAACGTCCCTTCAGCAGTGAGTGGGTTATGCGTTTCCATCCTGCATATACCACTAGCATCACCACCACGTCCTTCTCTAGCTTCCCCCTCCCCTTTCTACACAAATGTTGCAACACAATCTGAAATTTCCTCTTTTCTTTCCTTCCTGCATTTCTTACAGGTTCCCTTGCGTCAGAAGACAAAAAAGAAAAGTCAAGGTAATGAGAGATTGTTTTTTCTTTTCTCTTCTGGGTTCCTCTTTTGTTATTTTCTTAGTATGTCTTATTCTTGGGAGGGAGAGGATTTTATACTGTTACTCAGCTGGTGGAAGGCTGCTTTTTAATTCCACTGATTCTTGCACCGATTCTGAGAAGAATGACAACGGGCTGTTCCTTTGGACTAAATCCTTGCGGTATGTTAATTGAATAAAAGCTGGAAATCAGTAAGGTAGAATCAGCTGCCTGCACATACACACACACGAATGGTTTTCATGCATTTGGCATAATAGTTTTCTCTAGCTGACTTAAATAGACGTATCCTTTTGAATGCAGCTGTGTGAAGGGAAAAATATGCATGCTTCTCTTAAAGGTTATATTTTTAATTTACAAAAACTCATGCATGCTATCTTAGCATTAGTGTCTGCATTATCTAGAGCTTACTATTTTGTTTCTGCACATCAGAATGCTTTTCAAATGAATGTGTATTACTGCCACAGACATTATAAAACTGAACGACTTCTAAGCATATTTTAAGATATGCTTGGATGACTTGCTGAGATTGTTAAGCAAGGTTGATATCTCTAATTGGCAGCAACATCTTTCCTGGTAATGTACTTTTAAACAAGCAAAACACTGTATTTTTACTGGCACAGGGTTCTTTATAATGAGCCGACGGAGGATATCGTGTAAAGAACTGGGACAAGCCGATTGCCAAGGATGGCTCTACAAAAAGAAGGAAAAAGGAGCTTTCATTGGCAACAAATGGAAAAAGTTCTGGTGTGTGCTGAAGGAGTCTTCACTGTACTGGTACAGCAGTCAGCTGGTGAGTACAGCATCCATCCAGCTCTGGCTGCCGGACAAACAGCATCTGCTGGGACCAAGAGAGGGGAAGCTGGGCTCACAATTTAAATGCACCCTGGAGATGTACAAGTGACTGCATTTATATCTCAGCCCTGACATTTCTTGTAATCTGGGAAGCGTCTAAGTGAATGTGAAACATGCAGAAAACTATGTGTTTTCTAGTTCAGTAAGTACTTGTGAAATGTGAACTTGCTGTCTGTTCTGCCCTTTAAAGAGCTGCTCTTTGCAAGCACTGGTGGCATTTGTATTTGGGAAATGTTTTCTTGGGTTAAGCAATTTGCAGACTCTTGCTATCAAGACTCAAAACAGGAATGCTTCTTTGCTTCTAATTAATTTATTTTACAGAAGTCTCTCTCCTGATTCTTTCTCCATCCTCTTCCATGCTGAGATTAATTTGCGTATTTGTTTGCCTTTTTTTTCTTTTCTTTCTTTTTTTTTTCCCCAGTTTGCACTAGTAGGGTTGCAGATATAAGCACTGTCAGTTGGTGATGTTTTTACTCTTGATCTTGCTGATGTCTCACCCACAGCACTGTAATTAAAGGCTCTAATATTCTGGTGATTTTTAACTTTCTGCTCTCAAGAGTTGATGCTAAAAGTCAAATCTGCAGGAAAACACAGTGTTTTGAATTCAAGATTCAGCTTTCTGGTCAGAGGAAGAGCTTTCCTCAGGACAGCCGGTATAGTAGCATTCCTATCCCTGCTGATCCAGCTCCAGTAGCCTACCTCACTTACAGTGTGAGTGGGAAACAGTCTGAGGCAAAGAACTGCAGGCCCTGAACATCCATAACCAATTGAGGAAACTGAGAACAGGTTGAGGGAGGAAGGGGAAGACATAATGAGAAATCCAGAGTAACTCTTTTAATGAAAGATTGTGGCTGAGTGCAAATAAGCAGTGAGTCCTTAAGTTCAGCTAGTTTTAATCCTGGCTTATTGCTACAGCTTGGCTTGACTGGGCAAAGTGGGTATCTTGCCTGTCCTAGGAAGATTCAGACATAATTATTCTCTTTACTTTTATCTCTTGCACTGCTACCTCTCAAAAAGCTCCTTTTGCATTCAAATGATGGACTGACAGAGCTGAGAATTGAGGCATGCAGAGGATTAGGGGACAACTGGCAACAACATAGGTTGAAACTCAGCAGCATCAGGTTTCCTAAATGCAAATGGGCTGCTCTGGAAATCACTGTGTCCCAGGCCCTGCAAAGGATGAAAGAGTAAAGAAATCCTTATTAAATCTTAGAGCATTTTAAGAAATTAAATGTAATCTGGATGGTTTCCACTTGTTTATTTCTATTGCAGTAATATCCATTAAAAACTTTGATAACTGTTTCAGAGAACAAATAAAATACTTTGAACTATAAAAACAAAATCTGAAAACTTTAAACAAAACTTCAGTCATATAAAGAGTTATTTCACATTCTTCTTTCAGTTGTGGGTACAGTGCTGTTTTTTGTTGGGGTTTTGTTTTGTTTTAGGGTTTTTTTTTTTACGTTTAAAGATAGTATTAGCTATTCTTTTTGAGGCAAAAGTGAAAACAACTCTGTTGGCCTTGGTCTGCTGTTTTTATTGGTGTTGTGGTAGTCTCCTTTAGCTTCCTTTCAAGACCAAGCCAAATACTGCATGACAGAAAAAGAAAAGAGAGAGAGAAAAAAGATAAATAAAAGGCTTTGTTTTCCCAATGTTTACCATATCTCTGCTTGAAAGACACGCCTGGCAGAGATACTCATCAGCAGCATTAATACCCTGCAAACCTTTATTAACATTGGCTGTTCTAAATCACTGCTTGCAATTGTATTTTTGGCCAAGCAGTATAAAGAAAGGTGAGGTGTCTGGCTGATGTGCTTTTTAGACATGGGAAGTGTCAGAAAGGAATTATTCAAGGAGTAATCAAGCTGAGAGGAAATAAAGCAAGGCAAGACTAGGCAAAGCTTGCTTTCCAAGAAGCGAAGCGTGGTGGGGAGAGAGTGCAAAGTCCTGCACTTCCCTTATTTGTTGTGGCCTGGCTAAATTTCACCCTTGAGATCCAGAGAAACCATGGCCATGCTGATCCCAGTGCCCCAGGACAGCATTTGTCATTTGGGTGAACTAATCCTTTTAGTCCGTGCCTGCTTTCCACCTGTCACTGACTGCCCCAAAATGAACAAGGCTGAAGAATAGGTGCAGTCTGATTCCAGTTTATTTTGCATGCTCCAAAAGGCTCATACAGCTTCAAAAATACTGTTGGCTTATGTCAGCCCTGACTTCTCACCTGTCACAGTACTTGTGAACGTGCTAGCTGGTAGCACCTCTTTGCTTTCAACTTTTGCGGACTCTTGCACGCTATTTTACTTTAAAAACCTGAGGTTTCTTTGGACAACTTAAAGTGCAGTCTCTGCATAACAGTTGATCCAGGCAACATTTGCAGAATGGCAGTAATTATGGGTTGTGGGAAAGAGAGGAGGTGTCCTTAGTGAAGATCTGCTTACTAAAATTGACAAGACCAGAGTCATCCTCAGAGTCACATCTGAGATGAATTAGACACGTTATGTTTTCACAAGATATTTTCGCCTCTAGATTGATGAAGCAGAAATAGCAGTGACATATTTACTGGCTTGCTTGGTATTTCTTTTTACTTCTGTATCTGACCTGTCTTTACTACTGCCTGCACTTCCACTGCCTTCAGTACAGTTAATCCTCAGTCCCAACAGGGCATCCAGGATGACAATCTTACATTCATAGTTGTGACAAAAGAGGACAAATCCTGCTCCTTGCATGCCTGAGGCTTCCTGTGACAGGCCCTCTTTGAGCCTGAAGCAAAGGTGGTGGAGGCGGAGTGAGGCTGAGGTCGAAAGAACCAGGGCACGCTGTCTGCCTTTACCTCTTCCTGACCAGTTTCGTTCCTGTGAGAAATGAGTGTTTTGTTCACGGATGTGTGGAAACCGCAGTCAACCAGACACTTGCAACTGTAGCATAGCAACAGGGTGCTGGACCTAACCTTCTTTTCTAATGGAGATGGAGAAAATAGGGAGTGGGTGGAATTTGTACAGGAGTGTGCATTATCCCAGATTTGGGTAGGTAACCTCAGCTGACATCAAGTTCTCAGTGGAGTCTCTCTTCAGATAACTCTGAAGCTCTGGATGTTTCTGGTGCTCTGATTTAATTTGCCTTCAAGTCACTCTGGTTCTGGATCTAGCATATGAAGCAGATTGAGGAAGGCGATATGAGACACTTGTGGTGACATTTGCAGACAGTATTTCCTTCAGTTTAACATAAAATATATTGGAAAAGCCAGAGCTCAAAAGAGACAAAATAATAAAATGCTGAGAAGGGTCCGCAACAAGAAGTCAGGCACCCTGAGAGTCAAGCTTCACCTTCACTAAAACCAAACCAGAGCACACAGATGAATCTAAAGTACCTTTCGGTCAGTCTTCAACCGGCTAGCTGAGGTACTGGGAGTGGTGAAGTTAGGTCCTCAGTAGTCCTCGTACCTCTTCCCACATGCACTTGTTTTTTCTATAAGGCATGGATACCATGTGAAGCAGGTAAAGTTTGCAGCATGCATGTGCCCCCAGGCTGGGGAGGGAAAGCTGGTTGGACTAGGAAGAAACACAGAAAATTTCAGAAAATGGATCTAAGCAGTCAGACTTTCTAGATGCATTCAAGAACATCAGACTCCTTGGACAACTACTTTTCATTCATGTTTGCTTCCCTCTTTCGAGTAGTGCTCTCTGTAGGCAGCTGCCTTGAAGTTGAGTGTTTAAAGAGGACAGTGTGTGACCCTGCCTGCCCTTTTAGCAGTTTTAGTTCTCATACTGAAACTCTGGAGGGAATCAGCACTTCTGCACAGGAATAGGTGTGGTTTGGGAAGATCGTCGCATGCAAACCCAGGCTCCTGCTTCCTTGTGCTTGTTGTGACTGTTGAATATTGTGGGACTGAACACCTCTGTCTTGTGGGTCTTTAGGATAGCTCATCTGGTTTTCCAAGTAGAGTTGAAATACAGTTCTGCAGGATGTGTTAATGATAGTTGTCATGGGGATTCAGCTGAAAAGAAATATAAAATCAAAGGGTTTCAGGCTGTGATCTGCTGTCACTATTTATCGTTGGTTTTTTTTTTTCCCCCTGTTCACTGCAATTAAATTGGTCTTCACTCTAACAGTTTGCCAGGAGCTGTATAATTGCAGTCTTTTAAAACAGAAACCTTTCACCTTTGAGTTATAGTTGCTGCTTACATGAATGATAAAAAGCCATTGATGTCAGTTGTTTGTGTTGAGGGCTTCAGAGACCTCTGATTCAGTATGTTATACAAACTTTTCACAGTTCTGTAAGTTGCCTCACTGGTGTACCTGGCTGTGAGAAAAAAAGACTAAAAAGGTTTGAGGACTGAGCTACTCCTGGGACTTCTAGGGGCAGCAATGAAATACTGTAATGAAGCCATCAGGACTACCCTGAATTGCAGATTGGTGCTGTTCCACAACAACTAGATATTTTCACTTTACAGCATTATTTTTTTCTAATCTTTCTGCATCATTATATTCACTTCAGATATTGAAAAAGGTCTATTAAATGATTTACTAAGTCTACTAAAGCCACAAAATTTAGACTATGTACTGAGGCAAACTATAAAGGGCATTAGCCTCTTTCATTGGATTAATGCATCATGTTTCATAAATATGTTTGAATTTTTGAGTGAAAAGCTTTTTCTGTGAAAAAATGGTTATTTTCCTTTTTTTGCCCCAGGCATTTTCAGAGACTGGTATGATTGAAATTATTTTTCTACAACTGAGCATAGCAAAAAGTGCCAATTTATATGCTAGGCTAACCTGCATAAAACTCACAAGAGATAACAACTTATTCTTTTAAACATCCTAATTAAACAGAAAACAGGTCAAGGTTCTTTTAAACTGAGTTTTTTAGAGCTACTTTAGAGCATTGCAATAAAACCTGAGGAAGTTTGAGTGAAATGTGTGAATTAAATAATAGCATGCTTAAAGTCAGTCCAGTTAAAGATAACATTTCAGAGAAGAGAAAACATTTCAAATTTCTATACACTTTTAATGTTTTAAAATGTCATTTTTATCCCAAGAATGACCAAAAAGTTGACTTTCACGTGTTCTGTTCCTAGTGTTTATTTGGAACTCTGCTGACTGTAATAACACTCATAAGGTTTTACCGTTATGTTTTGTTTCCCTTTTTTTCTTCCTTTTTTTCCTGATAATTATGGAACTACATACTCATCAGACTCCTGTTTTCTGTTAAATAGATGGCATATCTGAGATGTGTACCAACAGTCCATTAACAAAATAAATTATGTGATTCCTAAAATTCACACCATTATCCTCCTTCCTTTCACTCATACATAAAATGAAACATCAACCTTTTCTTATAAATGAGTAAATGTGAAACCACTTACAGAATTAATATAAAACCTGAATGCAGTGAACATAATCTTTTACCAACTGGAACGTGGCAAATACTGCATAAGAAATCTGGAGAGTGCTGTAAAACTGGTAAATATAAATCACTGAAATCAAAGTCTGAAGTCCTATTTCCATTAGCAATTTAGAGAGTATTCTTCTAATTTAGATACCCATTAGATATGTCAGTGGTTCAAGTCCAATTTTCATCCCCATATGGGTGGAAGCATCCCAGGTGAGTGTCCTCACACTGGCTTCCAGGATCCTAATAATTCAGTGGCCCTATATAAAATCTGAATGGTTAAATATTTGTAAAAAGTAAAAGTGAATCAACAGCAGAGATAATGACTTATCTAATGGTGTTGCATAGTCTTAATCTCATCATGAGTGTCTGTGCAGCACCCTGAGTAATTTGTAGGAAGCAGTCTAGACCAATAGCTTGTGTATCAATAGATGAAACTGGCTGAACTGCGTTTGCAGTCATAACTTGTAAGGCCAAAACCCCCACTCACCCACCTGATGGTTTACCTAGCTCAGGTATATTGGTATGTGGGTGAGACAATACTGGAGTATATTCCTTTTTACAGGGTGTTTATTTTTTTTCTTAAACTTATTAATTGATGCTACAGAGAAACAACTAGCATCGCATATGCTTTTTATCCAGGAGTGTCTGTAATAATTGCTTTGGTACCCTATGAACTGCTTTTTTGAAGTTGGTCTCTGGTGTTCTTAGACTGGTCTTGGGAACCAAACAGGAGTTTTGGTGTTCTTGCTGCACCTGTTCTTGTAAGTGACCACTCTCTTAGGTACAGAAATTCAGGATGGTACGTTCGCTATCTTTAGTGCAACAGAGTCCACAAACAGAGCTCTTCCTTTACTCACCCCAACTCATTTGCTAATTCCTATATACTCTGTGTACTATGGCTCTGGGATGTAAATACAAGCTCAAGGTCTAATTGTTTGAAATATACATTAAACCTCCTTCCCCCCAACTTTTTAAAAAATCTTGTTACTTTTTTCTTTATTTAATTGTTATTTTGTCTCAGTGAGTTTATTCTAACTAAATTCCAACCTGTGTAGTGGAAACAAAAGCTCCTTAATTCAGGCTCTAAACAAATTTGACAGGTACAAATATAATCAGAGAAAGCTGAAAACCCACAACTGCAAATACGCACATTTCTGTACAAATGAAACCACACTGCAAAATCGAGATCTTTTTTTCAGCTCAGTTGCTAATAAACATCATTGTTTCTTCTGTATTGAAAGAAAATAACAAAAAAATCTCACTTCTACCACCTACCACTTTTTTTTTCCTTCTTTTGTCCTGGAGCGGGCAAAACCATTTACTGGTGAAGAAACAAAGTACAAACCTCTCATATCAATATCTAATACATGTAAACTGCAGGAATGATGGTTATACAATGATTTATTGCATACCAAAGAACAAATATGCAGAGGTGCAAGGAAGCCACCCACTGAAAAATCCATTCTGTATACATATTTCTGTTCTCAGAGACTCATAGTTCCAAGCATTAAAGCTCTAAGACTTGTCTCGATGAATGTCTTTTTATAGTCTCTTCATATTCATGCATAATGTGACTTGAGATGCTGTCAGTCATCTTCATTTCTCCTCTCTCTTTGTAACTGTTGTGTATATTTTACCTGCTTTAACTCAGTGTACATTTTAAAAATTTTCATGTGCCCAGGGATAAGGGCTGGGAACAGCAAAAAAGTGATTCAGGAATGAACACTTTCTGTATTCTGGAAAGTACAGGTTTTCATGACAGTATATGCTACAGACTTTTGTCTACATTGTTGCTCCTCTTAGGAGGAGTCCTAGTCTTATTGCTGCTTAGTGGGTGAATGTAGATAGATGCAATGAAGGAAGACTTTTTTCAGCTGCAGGCAGCAAGAACAGGGATTTGAGGCTAACTGGCAACTTCTGGTCTGCTGAAGCCATTCTCTGACACAGACTTCAGCTGACCCGGAACAGAGATGCCAGTACTCAGTAAACCCTCTCCCATCCAGAATGAGGTAACTGCATAGGAACAGTGTACTGTACGTGTCTGCCTGGCTTTTGCTACCTCCTGTACCGTGTCCGCAAAGTTATTGGGGGAGTGATAGCTGGGTGGTCAAAGCCATCTGAAGCTGCTTTGCAGTGTTTAACAACAGAGCTCAGCTGTCTGGGACCATCTCCTTGCACTGTTTCACCTCCTCGTGTGGGAGCAGCCCATATTGCCTCTGCCTTGCTCACGTACAGTGTATATAGGTGAACCTATACGTGATCCATGTTATAGTTATCCAGAGGACATCCTCCTCCATCTCTACGTAGGATCATTTTGGATTACTTTTGAACTCCCATCACTATAGACGTGGTGCTATTACACATCTATGTAACACTCATGCATACTGTATAATGGAACCAACACTCCTTTGAAATTGTATGTAACATCAAAACCTGAATGGATGCTATAACCCTTATTCATTCTCTCTTATGTCATCTGTCTCTTTTGAGAGGTCTCTGTTTTTAGAGCTGAGGTTCAGTAGTTTCATTTCCTGCCATCTATGAACAAAGCATGGCTGGTCTCTTCGTTGAAAGAAGTTGTGTGATCACTGACAGTTGCAAAGGAATCAGGTTTCTCCGCCTTCCTACTGTTTTTAGTCATAGTTTGATCCAAACCTAAATTTTGCCCTTGACAATTTCAGACTCTGGACTGGACTTATGACTTAATAATGAATCTTAGATAAGGGTGCTCTCATACAAATACTTCAATGTGAGGAGGAGGGAGAATCTACCTCAGCACTACTGTAGGAATTGAGGATCCTTCCTCTTTCAGGAGCTTTGATATTTGGAAGTGTACAAAAAATCCTATGCTCACACTCTGCCACCTGCACAGATAGGAGTTGCAGCTTTCTAGCATCCAAGACTAGCACAAATAGTAGCAGGTAAAGGAATATTTCTTATTCCTAAATATCAGCCGAAACACTGGGTGTTAATCTGTACCCATGGTGATGAGCATGTATTTCACACTATAAAAAGTTGTCAAAACCAAGCATTTGCATGTTAAATATCATTGAGCATTGGAGTCTGGTATTATACCGGTTGGCTGACGTGGTGATTTTTTTTTTTATTGCAGGCTGAAAAAGCAGAAGGATTCATCAGACTTCCAGACTTCAGTGTGGACCGAGCAACTGAATGCAAAAAAAGGCAGTAAGTTTCTCTTTCCCCCAGTTATGCATGGTTTTTACAACATTGCAAGGAATTCAATCTCAGTAGTGCCTGAAAATGAAGCTGTGGGGAGCTCTTCTCTGTTGTATAAATAATGAAATATTAATTGAGCTACTGAAAGAAAACCATATTGCAAAAATATATTTGAAAATTCTTTGCCAGATGTGCTCTGTTAAAACTACAATTAAAAAAATAGAGCAGTATTTCAAATGCTTTTTTTTTTTTTCCAAATCTCTTTGTTCACTGATTATATGTAGGTTGTGTTGTATCTTAGATACCTTCTCTTAGTGAGGGAGTCAACAGTGGTGCAAGTGATGCTGCTTCCCTCTGAGTTGTGACTATTCTTTAACCTGCTGTGGTGCAATTTTTTTTGGCAGAGTACAAGTTTCAAATTATTCTCCATATGCAGCACTGACTTCCAGCTGCTTCTGAGTACGCTTCAAAGGTTTGGAAGGGTGTTGTGGCTGTTCAGACTTACAAAGCTCAGCATGATCTTTATTCTGTCCCTTAAGAGAAAGCCTTTGCTCTTCTGTTTGGGTCTCATGATGACACTAGCCGTAGATGTTCTTGAAACTAACTGTGGGCTTGACTCCTCCAAAGAAAGGGGACAGCTATTTTGAATATGGGGAGCTCCATTTTTCTTCCTCAGAGGAAAGGTTGAGTCACATAGTACAGGACAATGAGAAACTCTTGCCCTTCACTTCTACAGCTGTTGGCTGGGAGGAAAACACCTGCTTATCACTTATTTGGGATGAAGTAACTTAAGAGAACCATGAGGATTGACTAGGACCATTGGGGCCCGGTCAAATAGTGTGTGCTTCCACAGGACAGTCAGTCACCTAACAAGGAACAGAAGAGGGAAATGGCATAGTCTCAGGATTGGAGATTTTTTTTAGGAAAACCCCTCTCTGAAAAATCTTACTGATGGCTGTTCAACTAAGCATAGTCTGGGGCAGAGACCACCAGGTTGACTGTTGGCATGTCAAGGGACTATTTTTATTTTGTTTGTTTCAAATCTGCTGCCTAGTTGTCTCTTTGGTGCCTCCTAAAACTTGTATTGGAAAAGACAGTGAAGAGTCAGTCCCTATTCACCTGCTGCGTGCCACTTGTGATTTTATTTTATTACATCTCCCTTCTCTCAACCATCAGTTTTCTATGCTGTGAGGTCTTAGCCTGGTTAATCACTCATGGAAGCTGTTCCATACCTTGAGTCACCTCTGGTGCTTTCTCTGAACCTTTTCCAGGTTTACTATGGTTTTTCTGAGCCAGAAGAAGCAAAGCTACACACAGTATTTGAGTATTTGAGATGTGGGCACACAACTGAATTATGTAATGGCATGTCTTTGTTTTATTCTTCATTCCTTCCTTTTTAGTTCCTGTTGCATAATGTGGGGCCTAGGAAATGAGCTGAAAATAGACTAGAGTTTTAAGAAAAGATCTGTATGGATGGATAATTTGGTCTGGATTGATATAGTGGAGTGAATAAATAATTAATTCAGCTATTTTTTTTCTTTGCTATGTAAACTAGTCTTCTTCATAGCTTTTCTATTTTTCTTTTCTTAAAGTGCTATTAAGATCAGCCACCCACAGATCAAGACATTTTATTTTGCAGCAGAAAATGTTCTGGAAATGAACACGTAAGTAGGAGCAACTGGCCGTGTTCTATCCTGTTTCACACCTGAGAACACCCTTTGAAAGTTTGTTCTCTCACTGTCAAGCGGTTGTTGACAAAGTTATTTGGGGAATTACAGAATCTGTTTTAATTTTATCACCATTGTACAGAAGAAAAATACTGCTATTTGTTCACTAATGACAGCTGAAATCAGAATCATGTTATTAGCCTAATTTTAGTACTAATCTTCCCAACAGTTGCTGGTATAAATCCCTTTCCATTAGCGAGGTGCAAATATTTGATAGCAAGTTGTTAGAAGTGAGGGAAGAAAGGAAAGAGAGGGAAAAGCTTAATATACTTCTGTCCTAGAAGTGGTCTAGGACTAAAATGCAATATTTTCTGCTTGCAGAGTTGCATGTCAGCTAGCAAGGAGGGTTAAAGGGATAGAAAGGGCTATTTCTTTAATGTAAGTAAACATTTACTTCACTACCTATGTTGCAGTTAAATGATCTTCATGACAGATCAGAAATTTTCTTTCCATAAATGTCTGTAAGAACAATTCATTCATGCAGTTTAGAATGCAAGAAGTAAAAATGGATGTGGAACTGCCGTTTTAGAAACTACTGAGCTATCAGAAATAGATATTACTTGCTATTGATCCAGTTTTAGCTGATTTAGATACATCTCTTATCTTTGTCTTTTTAACTTCAGATTATAGCTTGTTCACAATGCTATTGCATTAAATGGCCAAATACTGGATGCAAAACAGTATGATTTAAATGGGAAGAGAGCTTCTGTGATAGTCAGGTCAGGACTTTAACCATGGCTCTGCTGGTGATCTTTGTGAGCTTATTCATAGGGTATTGACTATTTTTTACCCTCTATAAACAGGAGACCTCATACATATTTACCACAACAGAAAAGGACAGTGGTCGAAAGACCTTCTGAAAGGGCTATAAATAGAGAAATGTATGATACTACAGTAGTGTACATACCTATTTATTCATAAATCTGTACTTTGTAGATTCATGCAAGTAAATATAGATGGAAAGAACATGTTGCCCTTTGCAACTTGGAGCAGCACAGAGCGTACTGCTGGGAAGATAACCATTAATTTCTCTATTGCTGCATTTTCTACCACAGCTCTTGAACAGAGTGAGAAGTTCTTGAGGCAGATGGGCTGAGGATACTGAGAATGAGGGACTGCTGGGCAGGAATATTTCTGTGAAGAGAGTAACTCCGGTTGAGAGAGAAAAGGGGGAAGGATGTAGGGAGAAAGAAAAGGAAAATTAGAGCTAATGAAAGACATTAGTGAGTGCTAACAGCCAGTTTTGGGGTCCATCTGGAAATTCTCAGCATCTTAATGACACTTTTGAAATGTTTAGTCTCATGTGAGTGAGTAATTGAAATCTATGCAGGTGTCCCGGTTCTTATGCCTCCAGTTATATTTACTTCAAACTCCACTTCTTGAGTAAATTTCATTTTGGCTTAAAGCTAGGTAGCCTAGCATTTGAGCAGCTTGCACTATACTGCACTAATACTAATTCCTCACTGTTGTAACTAATGATATTTTCCTTGGCAAGGTATAAAATACATGCATTTAATACATAAAGTACATGTATACTCACGCATATGTCAAAACAGATTAAAAGACATCTGTTCTCTTGGCTGCAGTCCTGCAAATACATATGCATGTGAGTGGTTCCACTGAACTCACTGGGGCATTCGTGTGTGTCGAGTTACTGGTGTGCATAAGTGCTCGACAGATCATGACCTTTCATAATTCTTCATGCATATATATCTATTAAATCACCAGTGGATTTATTAATACAGTCATTTGCTTCATTTATTTAGCATGTATTTGCCATTGTCAGGCAGCCATGAAAAGTAAATGTGTGATGGCTAGCTGCATGCATTTACCTGGCCTATTGGTTACCTGGCCACATGATTACTAATGACCTGTCTGACCTTGTAGTCAATCAAGTCCTGTATTTTTTTGCAAACCTTTTCTTTTTGTTTAGTTTTCATTTATTTATTTATTTAAAAAAATCATTCTGCTGCAATTAAGTGTTAGAAGAAAGCCAATAATCCACTCATACAGAAATGACACTTTGTTTACTTGAATTGTTATATGGCTCTATTGTTCATACTGCAGTCTAAAAATCCAGTTATTTTGACATTGATCTTACCAGCAAAGTTCCATTGCTGCAGTAAAATCAAGATCAGATACAATGTTTTTTCAGAGTTTTGAATCTTAGTTCTTACCCTTGATACATTCTCTATTTAGGCCTTGAGTTTTAATCTGAAAGTCTTAAGCTTTTTAGTTGTTAGTTTCTTAAAACCTGGAAATATCTAAATGACCTACAGGCAAACACAATATACAAGAAGTATATCCAGGGATTGTTTATAGCACTAGAAAAATACAGCCACCTAGGAAGAGAAATGAAAAAAAACCTGTTAATAGCTTACAGCAACACAGGAAGTGAGACTTACAAAAACCAAAAGTAGGCAGGGAGTTAAAGAAAGCAGTATATAGAAAAGAAAGTCTAGTTTTAAATGCCTTTGATTCTCAGACTATGCTACAATAGCTTTGGACAGAACAACTGACATAATCTTCTATGGCTCCTGTGCCTTTTGCCTAATCTCAGGTGAACGATGACACCTCAACAACAGGATTAAACCACTGACATTGTGTTATTATAGAATCACAGAATGGTTTGGGTTGGAAGAGATCTTAAAGATCATCTGGTCCAACCTCCCTGTCATGTGTGGGGACACCTCCCACTAGACCAGGTTGCTCAAAGCCTTGTTCAACATGACTTCGAACACTTCCAGGGAGGAGGCATCCACAGCTTCCCTGGGCAACCTGTTCCAGTGTCTCACCGCTGGGTGTGTTATAGCACACATACTTTTCCTTCAGCTTTCATGTGTGTAAATCCTTGGTCATCAACAGTGCTCTTTTCAGGATCAAGGAAAGATGTCCTAGGCAACTAATCCCGCTCACCACAGGGAACCAGTATTCAGGTAACCAGTGCCTTTCTAGAGCATGCTCTAAGAAATAGAAGGAAACTTTGACATTCAGTCTTCAGGTTAATGAAAATAGACGTAGTAACATAGAACACACCTGAAAGGGGCAAAACTCTGTCCAAACAGCATGTAAGTATCCTTAACTCTATGTTCTCTCTGTTTCAAACACAGATGGCTAAGTAAGCTGGGGATGGCCATAGATCCTCAGGCACCTAATGGGAAGAATGAGGAAGGTATGCTTCTAACAGTGGTTTCAGTATGCAATTACATCATGTTCTTCACAGTTCTTGCTTGGCCAAATTCTTGTCAGCTCTTTTCTTTCTTTTCAATTGTCAACTTGGGTCTGTCTGCCGACTGAGCTCAGAGAAACCACACTAAGATAGCACAGAGTAATCACAGAAAAAAGCCAATGGTGAGAAACAGTGCCACTGAGAGACACACTGATCTTGTGAGAGGTGTGTGACTACTTTCTGACAGTTTGCTGGCTTGCTAAACCTACCAAGTGAGAGGAGAAACCGCTGCACTTCTCAGGGTTTTGAGCTGGTAAGGCATATTACAAGAGTTGTGCTATGGCCTGGGAGCTTGCTGGCTTGGGAACAATGTAGACTTGTCCCTACTGTTTCCTCCATTTCCAGGGGTTTCAGCAACAACAATGTCGAGGTGGTGGAGGGGTGGTAGTGATGTACTGGAGCCTACAATTTCCTTCAGAGCCAAGCCCAAGAGTTCATAATGGAATGAGTAAATTTAGAAGTTCCTTAGAAATTTATTTATTGTTTTAATTTGCACACTGACCTAATGGAACTTTTTGGTGGGAGTATACCTGCAGTGAAATCACAAATCTGGGTAGAGGACAAAGCAAGTCACCCTTCAGAGCACTTGGAAGCTGCTGATGAAGACAGGCATGATGGGAGCTGTTTTAGAACAAGAAGTGCTGTGGGTAGTAGTAAGTTAGCAAACCAGTGATGGACTCTAACCTGAGGAATATGTATCATCTTCTGAGCTTTTGACTCTTCATTTTTAGAGTATTGATACCCAGTGCCTTTTTTAGAACTACTCGGGTTGTGAAGGAGGAGGCATTTGTATAGTAATGGTATTTGTAATAGTATCAACACTTAGGTGATGCAGCCTAATTTGTCTAAGCACTGAAATGTTCCTCTCTGCATCTCTTCTGCTGTTGTGGTTTATGTCCAGGCTTTGGACATGTAATGTTGTTGTTGGTTACTCTGGTCTGGCTCTGTTTGTATTCTGACTCAATTTATACTCTGCTATTAAAAGCAGCTTCTGGAGATTCAGCAGATCTTCTCAATTTCTTTGTTTTCAGTTCATGGTTCCTCTTTATTTCTTGTCAGGAAACGTTTTATCTTCCATACCCTCAAAATCCTTCAAAATGCTTGTATTCTCTTTGAACCTAATTTTGTATCAAAACAGTCTGATATTATTATGATAAAGGGCTATATTGAGTATGAGGCTGTGTAACAAGAACTGCATGGTAATTGTACTTGGGAAAGAAGTGTCCAAATATGTTATCCATGTTTTCACAAAGGTGGAGTTTAATGGAGGATGAGGATGGTGAAAATTGTATACATGAAAACAAGTTCTTATTTTTTTTTAAGTCTCAAAATATCCAGAATTGTTTATGTTGGCTGAGTTGAGAATTATAAAACAATTCAAAATGAGTCAGCCCACTAATCTTAATTAAGAATTAAATGACAGAAAGATACAAAATAATCCACTCAATAACCTCTGCAGCAGGTTATCTAATTACCCTGCAATAAACAATGTACCTGAGATTTCTTCAGCTTTTGAAACTGGTGGCACATTTCCCCTTCAGAAAAAGGCACTCCGATTCTAGTATCAAACACCTCCTTGTCTTTCCACGCATGTTTTGTCACAGATATTCCACAGCTGCCTTGAGCATGCCCCTGCAGAGGCAGTGCTATGCTGCAGAAAAACGCTGTCATTAACCACAGTCACTGCTGTTTCTGCTGACCTGGTTCTCTCTTCTGTATCACACACCATAACTCTTCAGGAGGGTCTTGGCTCTTGTTATGGCAGTTTTTGTGTATTCATATACTTTCTGTGCATTTTAACACCACCTTCCCTCAACTCCATTTGCCTATTTAGAGTATCAGAAAAAGGTGCTGATTCTTTTTCAGTTCTGTGTGCCTAAAAGGGGAGCTGTAGAAACAGTAAGCTCTTTACTAAGAGTTATTCAAGAACTCATTATTAGAGCCTTAGAATTTGATATAGGCCTTATTACAGCCAGTCTCAGTCCTTTATGCTAAGATGTGCCAGCATATATTTCCAGTAAACAGAATAGCAGCTATACTATTAAAAAAACCTTATAGTTCTGCAAAAAGTACAAGGAGCAAAAGTAATGAATCTCCTGAACTTTTGCTTTGTTAACATCTTGGAAACTTCCCTCTCATGTAAAAAATTCTTCTCTCTTAAGCCCCTTACACTTTGCTTATTAAAGCCCCCAAATGACACACACAAAAAGAAAGTGTGCAGGTATAAATTTAGTTAAAAGATTAGATAATCACAGGTGATTTCCCAGAGACCATGGTGACACAATGCTTTCTAGTGGTATGAACCCGTGAAGTCCAGCTCTTACAAAGTACTCCCAGAACATAACCCTTGGCCACTTAGGGAGCGATCTCCAGGGTTGCTTTCATCGGAGAGACCTAGTTGATCTGGGACAGCATAAGCTGCTGCATGCAGCTGCTGGAGGGAGTCAGTGCTGAGTGCCAGCTCCCATGGAGACCACAGGGGCAGCCCTGCACTTGTGACAGTCATTCATGTTGTCCTCATTAAGCCCCAACTATGTCTTTGCAATCTTTCATGTCCCCAGCTCAGTCAGGTGGGGGTGAATGTTGCGGAGCAGGACGCAAGCACTTGCTTCTATAAAGGCTGGATGTGAAAGGCTGATGCATGCTGGGAGATTTAGCAGAGGGAAGTGATCTTGCCCAGTGGTTACACCCAAGCCTTGGGAATAGGAAGCTGCAAGTTGCTGCCCCTCTTTTCTGTGTCTCATTTTGTCAAGAGTTATCACTTTATTTAATCTCCTTTTAAAAAGCATCTGAGAAAATGCTTTCACCATGACAGGCAGCTGAAAGAAATAACAACATGACTGCCTTTGTCACTTGTCAAGAGATACTGAGGCTCTATCAGCTTGCTTTAAATAAAAATAAATAGTGGGGTATATAGTCCTACAGACAGTGTTTTAGTACTAGTTCTGCCATGCTGCAATGGTGTGCCTATGTGAGTTACCATGTAGTGACAGAAGATTCCTCTTGAGGCTGCTCTATGGTTTCCAAAGCACCATGTGAGCAATCTTGTTTACTCCAAAACTATGGCCAAAACACCGATCCCATTTGCTAGCTTCAGTAAATTTACTGGTTATAGAGATTAAGGGACAGCATCTACTACTTACGACAGGTCTCCCTAACTTATACTACAAATGATGAAGCCTGTCTTTTAAATGCTGCAAAGGGATGAAAAAACAAACCACCCCAAACCTATTTGTGAAACTATCTAGAGCAGTTCCACCTAGTGTTTCCTGTCATAGTAAATTAGCAATTTTTTTTACTTGAAAAAAGAAAACATGTTGCCATGGGGTAGTGTAGCATTACCACAAGTGGGTTAATTTTCACTGTAGGAGTTAATGACTTGTTACACCGTGGTCCTCAGCCCAGAACAATCTACTTAGTGATCTTTGGCTATCACAGTGGTGTGAGAAATAAATGAGTGTTGGTCTGATACTCTGTTTTTGCTCATTTTCCATGTCTGCCTCAGAATGCTACAGTGAAAGTGAACACGATGATCCAGAAATAACAGACACACCTACTACCCCCTACACAGTCCAGCTACCACCTCCTTCTTTGGTAAGTTACAATAATTATCTTGTTTCTTGTTGCTAGCCAGTTGGAACAAAACATTCTTGAGCTGGCGGACCTTTTGGGAATAACCTAAATCAGTGGCTGGAAACGTCCCTCCTATGCACCTGCAAAATGAGGATGCAGTGACTGCCCCTGCCCCATGGCAGAGCACACAATTATTGCAGCCTGCATCACAAGGAGTCTTGCGCTGTAAAAGAAAAGCTCCTTCAGATGGAGGCGTGTTTTTCTTATTGGGGAAAAGAAGGTGTCATTCTACCTCATACACACACTGTGTCTTTTCTTTACAAGATTTTTAGCACACTTCCATAACCTAGTTTTTCATACTATTATCTTTTTTTAAATCAGCCTCAAATCTTCTTTCTTTTGGTGACCCTAGTAGTATCACCTAACAGATTTGTGTTTATTTATTTAAGTGAGCTGTTCTTAAGACTACTGAATTTGAAGCTGCTTTTGTGGCAACTAAGAGAAGTGAAGGGAAAGGCATCTTCTTGCAGTGATAAAGTTGGTTCTTTTCTCTTAGCTCTGAAAAATAGACTATAAAAAAAAAAGGAAAATATACATCCTCCTAAAATCTATGCTATTTTTCTCTCTTGCTGTAGAGTAATTGCCTGAAATATTCCATCCTGCCTCACTTCATTTCATAAATTAGAAGCAGCACAGTGCATGCTCATGTGTCTAATCAAATTGACTTGCCTAATTATTAGACATTTATTGCCCTACTAATCTTGTTTCTATATTGTTGCTTTTCTCAGTGATCTCATCTCCTCTTACATGTGCTTTAAGATACGAGGTTTACTTAATTCTGTGTACAGAAATGACTCATCTGGTTTGGGATGGTAATGCAGCTGAAAGAAGGAATCTTGAGTTCAAGCTTTTCCCTTCCCCAGGTGAAAGTTAACATCAAGGGATATGCAGTTAATATACTTAGTACTAAAGAACCTCATTGCATTTCATGGAAGGGAAGTGTTTGCTTCCTCATTGGTACAGGGTCCTGTATGGCATGCTGAAATGACATCTAGTAGCTGGGGTGGGCACAGAGGCAGTGAAGCAGGAACAAATTTGAAATATACAGAAAAGCTGGAGAAGCTTGCATGGTCACAGGCAATAATAGAAGGAGTTTTCATGCACAGGGTTGCCTGTCTGGCAATCTTGAATTAACTCACATAAAGCTGGGGGTGTATGTCCCACTATCACCCACTTGCCCCTTTCTGTTTCAGTCAGGTAAGTCAGTCTTCACTTCTCTCCAGAAACACTTGTGTAATGTTAATAGCTGTAAAAGAATTCACCTGACACTCAGGGGAGTGTGTGTGGTGTTCACTCCTGTCTAAAATGTGATTCTATATTGCCCGTATTAACTGGAAGTTAAGTGTGGTTGAGTGAGTATAAATATCAGAGAAAATAGGAACCTTGGCAATATGTCTCCAAGAGTTATTCTGGGCCAAGGGCTGACAATGAACTGTCTTCAATTTTGTACCTTAGTGGCTTGCTTTTAAGAGGCTGTAGACATCTTTTCCGTCTGCTCATCTCTGAGTGAATGCTTGCATTTTTCCAGATGATGAGTTTTAAACAGGTGATGTTTTTTAGTTTTCTGTTTTTCTGGCTTCCTGCTGCTTGTCAATCTGTTGCTGCAGAGGTGATCTCTGGTTGTCTCCTTCCCAGGTGCTCTTCTTGGGTGCTGGCCTCCACACATGGGAGGCAGGCAGTGGTGCGGGTGCCAATGAGTCCTGCTTCCTCAGCCTTTCCCTTAAAGGTTATTTTCCCTCCAGCCTTTACCTCTTGCAGCTGATTTCCCTTCTCATACTCAGCTTAAAATCCCTTCTCTCGTGGACTATGGTTAATGTCTCCTGAGCAAAGTTGTCATCTTTTCACCCTAGAAGTGGCCACTGGTATAAGCTTCAGCTACCATAGGTCTGCCCTATGCTCAGCTTGCTTACATGGTGGGTAGGAACAGTTATGTACCAACGCAGTTGTGTTTGACTACAAGTCAGATTCTTCTTTTAAATACCCTATTTAATGCCCCTTTCCCTCCTGGACAAGTACTGGAGCACGAGAATGACTAGAAGGATTGGGAAAGCACAGCTTCTACTGGAAAGTCAGTTCTAGGAGTGAAACTCTTTGTTGTCTCAGGGAAGTCTAGTTAAACATTGCTCCCCTCCCTGTTTATTTGCTGTGAAGTTTTTGAACTAAGCTGTGAGGTCCTAAAGATGATGGATTTGGGTTGACTCTCTTTGAGTACACCACTTGTGGAAGGTCTGCTTGAATCTTTTCAGATTGCTGCTGGAAGAGACATTCATCCTGGAAACCCAGCCCAGCATCAAGAATGCCACAGGTGTTGACTGGGGTTAACTTCTTTTTATGATTTTTATATAATTTTTTTTTTAAGTTGTACTTCTTCCTCCCTAATACCAAAGGGATTTTTCAGAATAGGAGTTAGAAGCCATGGGCATTTTGGAAAATCAAATGCTGTCTTAAGCAGAAAGGTTTCAAAACTTCTTGAGATCAACTCCAGACTGAAAACTATTAGTCTGGAAACCAATAGCCACCCAGGTGCAGAATCTGTTACATGTTAGAGCAGCAAACATTTTGCTGTACTTCTAGCAGAGTTTTCACTTGCTCTTTTGTTTGCTGATCTAAATAATTTTGAAACCTGAAAAAAACCAAAGAAGTAGTTATCATAAGCTTTCTGTGTTTATGCATGCTTCTGGGTGCTGTGGAAGAAAAAAAAGCAAGTGAAGAACAAGTAAATTTTAACATCTGTAGGACAAAAGTTAAGCTTATCATCTGCATTAATTTCTTCACATATGAATGAATTTACAGTTCAAAAAAACAGCAGCTCTGTTGAGACAATAGATTGCAGCAGTCCCAAAAGAGCAGTTGAGACAGTGATAATTTTTGTCTAAAAAATGTCTAGAGACCCACTGATCTCCAGTGAAGTCCTTACGATCTGGTGGTTCAAGCATCTGCTTTTGAAAATGTCCCCAAATAGAGATTTATTATTATATGGATGATTGCAATACTTCCAAAAGAACCAGTTGAGTAAGTTAGGTAAACATTTGTCATGCCTAAGAAAAAGACCCAACACAACACATGTAGAGAAAAAGAAACACATGCTGGCAGGTTTTTTTAAATTATTAATTTTTTTTACTTAACGCACAGTGAAAATGAAATCAAAAATATATTCCACTCAGTGAGGCATGATTTTCATTCCAATGACACTTTCTTTTGCATGGACAAATGCCAGAAACATAGAGGTGAGACCTAACACCTTCCTTTCTTGTCTTTGAATAATTGTCATGAGCCAATCCACACCATGTGGGCAAGAGCTTCTACAGCTTGGTTGTTCTACTTGGCTGCACAAATGCTTCAACAATTAGTCTCTGTGATAGGAGCTCTTAAATGAAGTGCTTCAGGTCACCTGTGTTCCCAAGGGTGTTTCTATCACTCATACATGTAGTTTAAAACAGCATCTCCCTGTCCTTTGTTTTAGGATGCATTTGTGAAGGTTTCCTTTTTAAAAACAAAACACAATGTTGTACTTCTCGTAATAGGAATATAAATTAAGTCTGGTCCTGCAGTGTTTGGCACAGTCTTGGAGAAATGGCTTTGAAAATTTACAGAAGTGAAGAAAGTTCTACAAATTACCCACAATCTGGGAATGCAAATCTACTTTGCCTTTTTTTTTTTAATGCAAAAAGGTAGTAGTATACATTACAACAACACTGAAGTTTATTTATCATAATCCAAAAAAAGTCACTCTTGGTTTGTTTCATATGAATACATCTTATTTCTAGTTTACCAGGTTATAAATAAGTGTTCCAGACTAGTCCCTTTAGTGTTTTTGTATCGTGTCCGGGTTTCCCCAGCAACACCTTCTCTGTAATTTTCAGTACTTCAAGTCTAGTTTTATTCTTAACACAGATCTATTCTATGTATGTATTGAGAACATAAACTTTCCAGAATTGTGGTCCATCAACTCTAATGTTCTGATTCTGGCACTGGCCAGCAGCAGATTATTTATGGAAGGGGTACATTTCTACAGTAGCAGATACAAAAATTCTGGCTTTCATATCATGATGATCTCATTACAATTTCTGATAGTTTCTGCTAAGAGCTTCACTATAAGACTTTGTCTCCCTTTGTCTTCCATTACTTTATTTATTACCGTCACTTAATCTTCTTCTGCGTATTTGAATGTATATTTGTGTGTCTATGTATGTATTACTTGTGTATTTGACTCTCCTGGCTCATCTTTTCAGTGGTATTTGGTAGATAAAAAGCAGACTAGTGCTAGTTCTTGTGTGAGTTGCTTTTGGTGACTGGATAATAGTACAACTCAATCACTATAAATGTATACTGTGGACAAAGATCCAGGCATCTATGCTTCTCTGGGAAGCTAAATACTTTCAAAACTTTGTTCTTTCTCTCAGCTTCTCTTTACATAGAATTCTGCATTTATCATACCATCTCTCATTCAACTCCTACCTCCTAATGATGACTGTCAGATGCCTCCAAGACAGCTCTGTTTGCACACACTCTTGTTGAGGCAGGGTGATAAGTACAGTATAGAGGGTCTGAGGACATCTTAGTGATTTCTGATGTGTTTCTAGTGAAGTCTGGGTCCCTTACCAGATTCATGTGCTGAAGGATGAATCTTAACAGATGAAGGAGCAGCACAAATCTTGTACTATTCCTCTCTTCTTGCCCTCTGCGTTATGGCTGTGTTTCTTCTTTCTACCATTAACTTGCTATCATAGAACACATCACCCTTCTTGCCTTGGTGAATGATTGGACCAGGTAAAATGCCTTTGTGTACTGAGAAGATTAAGGTACTTCAGTGCCTGGGGTGAAGTTTATTTGTGGTTATGGTACTGGTGGTTCTATTACATGCTTCTAGACAACTTCATGTTCAATAGCTAATTCAGAGTTTCTCGTCTGTACTCTTCATTAGAACAATAAAGTGAGGACAAAATAAAGAGTGAACATAAATGTGAGACCTACCATGGAATGCTACTTTCAGCAAAATATTTTGCCTTGATAGTTTGTTTCTAGGCATTGTCAGGTTCTTATCTGTTCTACCTCTGGCTTCCTTGTGGTTTAGTTTCTGAAGTTACTGCCTTGTAGGAGGTTGGCTGACATACCTCAGGCTTATTTGGATGGATAACTAATGAGATTACATCTTTTTGGTTTTGGTCAATTAACATTTCAGCTGCATATCTATAACATGTAGAACCAAGGAACAGAAATAACTTGGAAATAATTTTTCTTTCTTCTTCCCACACCCCTCCCCATTTTTTTCTGTAAAGCAGGATCAGCAGAAGTCTTCTTTCACCTCAACTCTATCAAGTGAAGCATCTTGTTCTCATTCCTCTCCTGAAAGCACTTTCAACTCCCAAGAGTCATCATCTTCCTTGATGTCCAAAGTGATTTATTCTGAGAGGCAGTCCTGGCTTGACCTAGTTAACAGCTCTGCCACAGAAGAGGGTGATCAGCCTTTAACTTTCTGTGTACAGATTCACTCAGATGAGCCGCCAGAAGTAGACTGTGGAGAAGCAGCAGAAAACCAGGAGTTCCAGATTTCCAAACCCAGTGGTGAATCTCAAAACTCATTTTTAGGTCCGGATACACATTGTCTAGCTGTGCCAGATGCTACAGGAGAGAGATCACTAGCCAAAGGTGAGCTAATAAGAGAGGAGATTTTTGCAGAGCCATACAATGTGGGAGTTCAGGAGTTTTCATCAACTTTCTTTCCTCTTCCTTTCTTTACGTTCTTCACTGAAGAGTTTTCCAGTGACACATAATTTATAACAAACATTTGGCTTATTGCACATTAAATATATAATGTAGTATGTAATTGGTAAGTACCTTTACAGCTTTTCTCAACTTTTACTTATACATTAAGATCATAGCCTCTGTATATAATCCTGACATAAACATGTTTTATTAGTTTTCTTTATTTCAGTAGAGCTGTCTTATATTAGTTAGAATTAAATAAAAATTTTAAGAAAGTGTATCACTGAACTCAGACAATAAGTAAAATGGCATATGTAGGAAGCGGTGAACATGGGGTTTGATCAATCCAATTTTAAAAATAAAAGCAGTTGCATTTACTTCCAGTACACATTCCCTTTTTGTTTTATTGAGCTTCATTGTAACCAAGGGGAAAAAACTGCAATCCTAAATCCGAAAGAACATTAAGACTGTATTTTGTTTAAGCAAATGACAATCCACATAGATATCCTCCTACCAAAATGTACTGCTACATAAAAAAGGCGGCAAAGCTCCAGAATTTGGTCAGTGTTAAGTTAATAACTCTCCTGCCCTAGTGAGTCAATGTGTCTTGCCTTTTGAGTAAAGCTGCTTCTTCCTGCACTAAAAGCAGTTGAAGCATAACTGGCATACAATATGCTGAAATGGGAAGATACTCAACGTTGCTGCCTAAAGAGGTAGTAAGTAAGGAAGCAACAATGTTTTTCTGCACCAGTGCTACTCAAATCCCTGTGAAAATTTGAAGCAAGTACTTTGTTGCTAAAAGCGTGGTGGTGTCTCGATTCAATGAAAAACAAAGGTGCATGCAAAATCTTAGGCTGAAGGTAATGCAAAGGTGGAAAGAAACAGCATTGGACTTGTTGGGAACTTATGGTATTTCTCTGTAGGTGAACTTGGCAATGATTAAAGAATGGTAGTATAAGGACATTAGTTACATTGTCAGTCTCCTTATAGTTTTACAAATATCAAGAGTTTGCACTCATTTACTTTTTCATATGTTTTTTGGTTTTACAGAAAAAAAAGGAAATTGAGTGAAGTACAGATTTTAGCAAAAGTGAAAATGAATTCATAATGTTTTGCACTCTGCTTTGTTATCCATCTTCTAGGCTGCTCTGCTAGAGACTTCTGTAGCAGTGAAGATCAATGAGAATTAAAACCAGGAGTGAGCATATGTACTATTTCTATGTGGTGTAAAAGAGTGGATGTTTTCAGAGAGTTACTGTGGAATCTAACTCCCATAAGCTCTGGGTGTGCAAGTAATAAAAAGACTGGGGCTGACAGAAATGGTGTCCCTAATGAAAATGTCACAAGGACGTAGTAAATGCATTGTCTTCTATAATATCACCTTCTGGGTTAAAATTGACTAATGCCTTTGGGAAACATTATTAGGTACATTCAGGTGGATGCTTGAAGTGTAGGTCATATATAGCATGGTGGCTTATAGATCCTGTTGAGCAAGGTTCAGTGGTTGCTTTTCAGAAATCTAGACTTTTGCTTAAAATATGTCACTCTGATATTGTCAGCAATCCTGTAATTATGCATAGATTAGTGCTTTCCATTGTAACTGTAGGAGTGACAAGTACTTTTATGGCTGGTCACAGAATTAGCTTGACACATTCATAATAATTTCAGGCATAGTTTGATGGGCTTAATAATGCTAACAAATAAAAATAGGATTAAAATGTAAATCAAGGCATATTTAGGTCTATTTCTGCCACTTCCAAGGTGGTTTAATTTTTCCCCAAACATTCCCAGGGAAATGAATTGTGTTGCTCACTGCTTAGCTGATGGCCAATTCTGATTGCAGAACTCTTCCATACCAAGCACACTGATGATCTGATGGAATTCCAGAAATAGATAATTTCAATGAGTCAGTCACTATGGAAACTGTATAACCTCACTAGTTACTGTCTGCATCATAACCTGTCATTGAGCAAGTAACATGTACACCATACACACATTTTTCTTTCCTTTATCAGTATGCAGAATATAGGGAGGAGGTGGAGAGTGTTGGTGTGTGAGGCTCTCCCCCGCAATGGGTACTGAAAAAAATAAATGAAATAATTTGCAAGAAGATTAGTTAAGCTGCTTCAATTTAGGAATGAGGTAGAAAAAAAGAATTAACATAAAATAGCAATTAAATTCCAAATGAAAGTTATCAAAAAGCATACAATTCTGGTTCTGTAGCTTATCCCCCAAGAATTTCCCCCTCCAGCTAGTTGATAAGGACATGCACAAATACTGTGAGATGTGTTCAGATTGTGGGGTAAAAGTTAGCTGCAAATATTCAAGAATTACAATAACTGTAAGAGCATCCTTGTTATCTGATGCAGAACAAGAATGCATACCTCAGTGCAGTGCATATTATTTGCTTTACAATGCTTCTCAATAGTGCATTTCTGACAGCTCGTCATATTTCAGAATAATGAGACTGCATCCAGGAGGAGACAGGTCTGTCTTGCATCAGCATCTGTCCTGAAAGCACATGTCCCATGTGCATAAAGTTGGCCCTGCTTTTATCAGAACAGCTTTGTGGTCCTTGAACCAACTCCCCACAGAGCCTTCATGTGTGTCTGTGCTCTCTCCTTCTCCTTGTAAGGATAGAAAAGACCTGTCACACACTGCTTTGTGGCCACATTCTGCTTAGCAAAACCCCGTGAGGAAATACTGGTTGTTGTTGATACCAACCTAGACCTGAGGTGAAAGGTTTCAAGAATTGAAGAGCTCTTCTGTTGTCAAAAGCCAGAAACTAAGGCAACCATAAGAAAAGTTAGTACCTAGAAGGAAGAAAGAGAAGCTGTGGCTTTGTGGAAAGAGTTTATAATGAAAATACACCAATAGTGAAGAAACCTTAGTGATGAGTTAAACAATTAAAGAAAAGTTTCTCAGAGATAAACAGGTACAACTCTGTAAGAGAAACTACAGATTCAACTAAATGATTATGGATTCTTTTTTCAATGAAAATTATATAATGAAATTGGCTAAGCAACTCTAAATGTCTGGTACAAGAAGCTGTACCATATGATAGTTTTAATGATCTCTCCCGCCACTCTTAGTGGTATTATGACCATTCTCAGCCTTAATTCTCAGCACTGATTGCTGGGGAGAGGTTATACAGAGAATAATAAAAAGGTACAAAAAATGAGAGCTTAACAGTTTTCTCTTTTATCAAAAACTATGATAACAAAAGGAAGGCACAGATGCAGAGAGGCTACTATAAGAGAACAGGAATGTATGTTTCTATTTACTTAGGGATCTTTTATTATAGCAATAACGTCCTTCTTCCTTGCATTTTCTGAGGATTTTATGATCATGTTAATGCGTCTTGGCAAGTAATTCTTATGGTACCACTTCTGGTTTATTTATGTTACTTAGCTCACAGTATCTGGTAAAAGATCTGGTGTTTGACAGTATTTTGTAAAAAATCTGGACAGCCTTTCAAATAGCAATTGAATTTTACCTGAGTTAGTTTTGTGGGAAGGAGTTGGTTAAATAGGAGCTGAATGCAGTCAATTCCTTCTTTTCTCAGAACTGACAGCCTCTTCGCCTCTGGAGTCTGACTGTGCCAGTAATAGCCAGAACAGATCCTTTGGTGTGCTCTGGCCCCTTTGTTCCTTCTGTAAAAGTTACAGAAAATGGCTGGATCATGGCTGAGAGTAGCCAAGAAGTATGTCTATGATGAGAACAACTGTGTAGAGAAACAGCTGTGTTTGAATTATTATTTTGCTTCCGATAAAAAAGGTTTTAGAAATCACAGTGAAAACTATGGTGTTACAGTTTTCTGAAGTCTCTGAAAAAGAGATATATATTGTGTTGTTTCCAGTTCAGTCACAGTTTGTTAAAACGCCATCTCTCACTGCTGAGTCCACTATATTGGTATAGTCAAGAGCAAGTAACTGTTGGTGGTAACATACTTTTCCTGTTATTTTCTCCCAATCTGTCCTACCTTTAGTTCTACATTTACCAGTGAGGAGTTTGCCTAAGCTATGCCCTCTTAAATATTTCCTGTTTCTTTTATTCTGTAGTTCTATGGAAAATGTGATTGCCCTGAGGTGTCATATTCCCATTGAAATGTCTACTACCACTATAGATAATGGATGAGTGGAGGAAGGTGTGGGTAAGGTAGGTAAGGGCAAAAGTAGTCAGTGATTTTTTTTCCCTCTTTTCTCCCCAGCCTAAGTCTGTACGTTCTCCCATTGGCATAAAAAGTTTTGGTAGAATCAGAAACAGAAGTATTGGCACAGGTACAAGAAGCTCATAAAAGTAACAAGGACAGGAGGAAGAAGCAGATATTTTTTTCCCTGGGATTAGTACACAGTTGGAGAGCTGCAAGATCTCAGTTAGAGAATGGGAAAATAAGTGTTTACATTTCAGCTTAGATTTAGTAAGATATGTTCTGTTGGAGGTGGTTTTCAATGCAAAATACTTTTTCTGCCAAACATACCCATTTCTATATCTTCATGGCTGGGAAACAATCAGCTTGATTTTTCACAGCTGCTTTTTTGCAAAGTTCTGGATAATTTCACTTTGTAGGCTTAAATTGCATAAAGTTGAGATTTCAGGCAGGCTCCTGTATTGCTGCTGCAAAGTGGGGAGTCTCAGTACCTTAATGTCTCCCACCTGTGACAAGCTGGCAAACAGGATGATGGAAGCTGAAAATTGAGGAGGTGAAGAGCTGGCGTGTTGAACCTCTGGCAGCTTGTTAGTCTGTGATATCTCCTGTTACTTAGGGGGAAATTCCAGATAAGTGGTATCAAGCCGCAAAGTTGTGTTTTACTTCTCCTGAAACACAATTTGATGGAAGTTCTGACTTGCCTGAAATATTACATTTTTTCCTCACAGCAACCTAGAAGTTCTCTTTCTCTTGAATGTTAAGATATCTCAGGGCAGGATTTCCCTTTTCACCAGCTCAACACTGGTTCTTTTCCACTTTCTGCACTGTGTAGTCTGACAAAGTTAAAAGAGCTATACAATACTACAGAATTTTTCCAGAAGTGCTATGAAGCTTTAGCAGGCTGCGAGGCTTGTGAGTGAAGGCCATGGTGCAGGATCCCAGGAAGATGGATCCTTCCAGTGGCATCACTCAACAGAATTGCTTGTAGTTAAAACTGCCAAGGAAAGGGAAAAATGTACATGCATATGTTACCCTGTGTGCATGTACACTGTCACAAATGCACAGAATACGTAATATCCTTCCACTGTTGCCATTTGTTGCTAATCCTTCAGTAGATCCTGAGAGAAAAATGAATGTATTTTATCTTTAAGATAGGATGAGATAAAGAAGTGCTGTAGTAGTATTTCAGTTTTCTAACTTACATGCCTGAGATAGAAAGTACTTAGTTTGAAGAGTACTGGTGGGAGAGATAGCTTGTGATATTATATTTTGAAGTGATTTTGAATGTGCCTGATGCTAGCTGTGTGACCCAGCTGGAAAGACTCACTCCAGAGCAGTGTTAGTAGGGCCCAACCTGTCCATACTATTAAGAATTTTTGTCAGCAGAATATATCCATCATTATAAACCTTCAGAAGTTAACAAAACTCAGAGTAAGGCTGGAACATTTATTTTTGGGAGGTTGACGCAGACAATCTGTTCATTTTTAAACCAGAGCCTGAGCTTGTATACTATGTGCCCTTTACATGTATTTTTACTTTGTGAGGGTAAGCAAATATTTAGTAACAATACAGTAATATGGTCTAGACAGCCTAGGTTTCATAGGTGGCATCCAAGTCACTGAAGCCTAAAAATACAGAACTTATGAAGCCTGTGCTTCTATTAGGGACTTGCTCATATGCAGGTCAGTGCTCTGACTCCAGATGCAAGGGAATTAAGCAATACCAAGTTCTGGGATAATGTTCTGTGAATGTTTGAATCTGGAGAAAATGTCCAGTCTGTGCTTAAGCCTTGACTCACATTGCTTTATCTCTATTATCCGACCTTAATTGGATGTTCTGTGAGGAAAACAAGAAAGCAAACCATAAGTAGCACTTTCTTCATTTACTTTTGTAGCATTAAAATGCTTGTGAAATACCATAATGCACCACTGTGTGAGTGAAGAGAAATATGTTATCTTATCACAAGTCATTTTACTGGTCTTGTTTATTGGTCACTAGGCATAATATCTCTCCCCTTCCTCCATTACCTCTCCCTCTTTCAGATTTACAGCATCAATCTAGTGTGTTCAGTGGCAGTTTCAAGCCTTCAACACATGGGCTTTTTCTTTCTGAGCTTGGCTCAGGGGAACTCAAGGACATTGAAGGTAAAAGTCCAGAAAGGTATCAGTCTAGCCTCAATTTATAGAGGTTTATTGGCAGACATACTCTTTGTCAATAGCAACAGTATCTGCTTCTATACAAAAGCACAATATTAAGGGAATGTTTTGTTGTTTTTTAACTGTTGTGGGAGAAGTTCACTGCTCATCAGTGTAAACAAAGATGGGAACAAAAATACTATATGACTCATACCTGGCTCTACACAGCCCGTAGGTTTCACTCACCCTTATTTTCCAACTGTTTCCTGTAATCCCATTTAGTTGCTTCACTGTCACTCCCTTTATCCACCTGATCTGAGGAATCTGGTACATTCCTTTCCCTCTGAAATTGCCTGACCCTGATCAATCCTTTTGGGGGTAGGAGTGCTGGAAGAATGAGAAATAGGAAGAGGCATTGAAGGTTGCAGTCTGGAAAGAATGCAGGAGCTGGATGCATGTAGCTTAACATTTGCATTGTGCAGGAGCCTTTAGCTGAGCTTTTCTGACTTCAGTTCCCTCTTTTTTTCTGTGCTGAGTACATCTGTCCTCCTTATCTTCACCTGCAAATGCATGGAAGATATCAGAGTATTTAGCGTGGAAAAAGTGTGTCCAGTGAGGCTGTATTCTCATGCTTGCTGCTTTGTAGCCTTTTCCAGACACTGAGGAGCATCGTGAGTTAGCTTCAAAAAATACCTGGAGCAGGGACTTCAGGTCTCTCATGGCTTGACTATTTTTCTATTTTTTTAAAGTTGCTGGACAGGATCAATGTTTTGGTTGGGTTTTGTTGGTTGGTTGGTTGGTTGATTTTTTTTCCATATGTTTTTGTTTGTTTGTTTGTTTTCTTCTTATATACTCTTTCTTGGATGTCTGATAAAGGTCAATTTATCTCTCAAAGTGATACTGTGTACAGTCATGATGGATGTCATCTACAGAAGAGCTGAGCCAGCCCTGGGCAGGAGCAAGCTAATGAAATGAACAACTGCTTCATCCCAGGAAAGTAGGCAGGAAGCTAGTTATAATTACGAGCCTCATGGCATAAGCCAACAGTTTTCAGGAAATACTGCAGCCATGTATTATGCCTTACACTTGCATTTTTTTTCTATTTCCTGCAGCTTGTGAAATATACAACAGTTCTCCTTTTCCTCCTCCAGTACTGTCCCGATGTTGGAAGCTATATTTAGCTCTTGTCAAGTTACAGTGAGCTTTATATAATCACAAAGTAGTGAAAAAAAAGGCTAGCAACACAGTGAAGGCAAATATTTGCAGCATATCATAAACTTTTCTAGTAACCTAAATATTTAGAAAGAACGGAGTTGTAGGAGGATGCCGTGCTTTTTAAAACATGGAAAAGATAAGGAGCAGCCTCCTAAGTGTGCTGACGTGTTTGAGAAGCCTTTTTGCTGCAGCATGAGTGAGCAAAAGGACTTCTTCCTTTTGTTCAGAAAATGTTTTCTGACTGAAGATGATTTAGAAAAGTCAATGTTTAACTTCTAATTAAAAGAAAAAGTTGCCCAGTCAGTTCAACTGGAACATGGAGAACTGCCTTGAGAAGAAACACCACCACCATGCCCAGTGAAATAAGAATGAATGTTATCCCAGTGGATCTTGAGGGATTCATTAGCACCCTGAAATCACCAATAACTTTAAGACTTTCCTTTAGCAAACACTGAAGTAGAAAAACTTGCTGTGTGGACTGAAGGACAAGAAGTGAGTTGCGCAGTCTGTTGCTGAAAATGGCTCTCTGCCAAAAACTCCCATAGATGGCTGGTACATTTTTAGTTTCTGACTGTTCATTTTTAAGCTGATTTATTCTGAAAAAATGTCTTTGCTTCAATTCTTATTTTATTTTATGCTATTCCATTCCCAGCTGTTTGCTAGCTTTTTCTTTTGTGTCCTCTCTGTCATGGAAGATGATGCTAGAGCTTGGGAGCCATCAGAATAATTAAGGTGGAGTTAATCAAGTCTTTGTTGTGAGGCACCACAAGCAAACCCAGGAGTTAAACATCAGGTGCTCCAAGAAGTTCTGTTTCAATATGTCTTCTAGGAACCTTCTTTTGGGGCCTCTGAAATGTTTCTACATCTCATTTAATTGCTTAAATTTTTTAAACTCTGATTTCAATAATTAGCAAAACCTGGTGATGAACTGGTGCACAAAATTGAATTTGACCTGTGAGCTGCCAGGTAGAAATGTAATGCACTGTGTGCAGCATGTAGGGAAAAATTTGATGCTATCAAAGTTGTCTTTATTCAAATGTAGCATTACTGACAGTTGTTCAGAGTCTGTGATATATTTGGAGCATTAAAGCATCACTCTATTAGTGGAAATACATGCTCATATCTGTTTGGATCACAACTTGATTCTAAAAAACTTCTGAGTTTGGTAGTATGTCTTTTTCATGTGCATTATTAGCCTATAAATAACCCTAAAAATTGCTTTGTTTTAACTCTAATACTGTTACTTTTTGACTTGACTAAGTGCCTTTCAGATGGTTGGTTAACATTTCTGCTAACTGCTGCCATATTCGTGTTCTCATACCAAATTTATTCTTTACTGTACAGATCAAGAAAAATGTGATGATGATGAGATGGAGCGTCTTTACAAGTCATTAGAACAAGCAAGCCTGTCTCCCATTGGTGATCGTCGGCTGTCAACAAAGAAGGAGCTTAGGAAGTCATTTATCAAGCGCAGCAAAAACCCCTCCATTAATGAGAAACTCCACAAAATTAGAATGCTGAACAGCACATTAAAGGTGAGGTTGCAGAGCAAGCCAAGGAAAGAAACAGTTTGGCTGAAAAAAGAAGCAAACCTAGACTTCAGCCAAACTCTAATTACATATTTCCTTAAAGCCCCAGAGAATTTGGTTAAGTTTTTAAAATTGTTTTCTACTTCATTCTAAATACTGTTCTGCATTTTGTTGTTAAATTTGAACTGGCAACAGAGGCAATAGTTCAGAAGGGACCCTTCTTGCAGAAGTTCCAGTCCATTTGGAAAATTTAATAAAGAAAGCTTCTCCTTGTTAGCTGGAAATCTTGCAAGCTCGTCTGAACGCACTAAGCAGGGAAGCCTTAAAAAAGGAAGAGCAGACAAAATATGTTGATGATAAAGGACATGAAAATGACCCTGAGCCAAAAAAAGTTTTCCTTATGTGATTATTGGAGAATGTACAGGACGTGCCAAAGCTATTGTAAAGACCTCCTGTAACAAAAAAATTTTAATAACAAAAGCATCCTGCTTTTATGTTGGAAACATATAATGAACTGGAGGGGTGAAGGGGTTCAGGGGGCATTCCGTGAAAGAGCCAGTAAATCTCTCGGGAATATGGGGATTTATGGGGCTGTTTACTCACCAGCATCAAGTGTCAAGGGATTTCAAAGCCTGCTTCTGAATGGTATTGAGAGAAACAGAAACCTTAACTATAACATTTAAATTCTAAGGAGAAGAAAGAATAAATGCAAACCTGGGGCTTCACTTGTTCCTTTTTGTATGCATCAGGAGGAGGAATTCAGTATCTTGTCTCAAGTCTGTGTATTTGTTACACAGCACCCCAGCCCGTGTTAAACTTCTGGAAGATACAGTTGAGAAGACAAGTGGGAATATAGTCATTGTCTCTGTTGCAGGGCTTCTAGGCTCTGTATGAAACATGGTGAAATCTCTTCTCAGTATCAAAGAGTCTTCAGTGACATGGTGCTGACTATAGCAGTATTCATCTGCATCAGCAATAAAGTAAGCCCATTGTATAACAGAGAGTTAGTTTAAAAAGTATGCCTATTTTATGTGACGGGAAACTAAATACAGAAACAGATTGGAATGTTTTCCCCAGTAGGAGCCTCCCTAATATATCCATGAACTAGCTAGTACAAAATGCAGTTATACCTTGTAGGATAATCAATTTCATTAGTAGGGAGCTGAATGAAAACCTAGAAGCTTTACTGCCAGACATGAGCAAGGAGGACAGCTCTCATTGATTTAGCACAGGAGTATTGTATAAGTTGTGATTAGTAATGTTTTTAAACTTGGGCTGGTCTAACACTTGTACTTAATATGGAAAAAATATTTTTGGAGTGTTCATAATGTATAAAATGTGTTGAACTTTTTTTGCTTTCTTCAAACTAAGAAATTGGAGTATTGACAAGACAAATATGGCACAGGCACTTTCTCACAGGTAAAACCAGAGTTCTACACACAGCAGTGTTTAAGCTAGCCTGTCTGAAAGGCAAATGCCTGCAGTGGGAAAGTGCCACATTCTTTGCATTAGTGGGATTATGTATTTTTAAAGTCAATTTTCTTAACATATAACATGAGATATGAGATAATTGAAAATGATCTATTGGAAATCTAAAAATTGGGAAAGTTTTGCATCTGATCCATATTTAGTCTGCTTTAACTAAAACCCTATTAGTTTGAGACAAGTGATCTATGCAAGATTCAGTGTGATTTTAATTTTGCACTTATGACTCCACATCAACAGATTGATGTTGCTGCTACAATATATCATTAACAAAACATGCTTTGGATAGTTTAGAAGAGAGGGAAGCTGTGTGCAAATGCATCACAGGCTTAATGAGTGTGGGAAATAGATTTAATGCTACAGAAAAATTCCATGACATGGCTTTTTGCCACCAGTTTTGTCCACTGGAAATACTCTTCCCTGTCTTCTACCTCCCTATCTCCTCTTATTCTCTTAGGCTACCATGCTTATCTCTGCATCAATTCCAGAAGCCCTCTTACAAGGGCTGGCACTAAGTCTTGAGGGTAGGACCTGTGTAAACTAACAGCTGAACAAGTTTTTGGGTTTCAAAAGTGGCTCAAGCATCACAGGGTTAGAGTCATTCGCAGTCATATCCCACAGAAGAGCAGTGGGATATGGATGTGTAAGCAGCCTACTGCTGAAATCAGGAAGAGTCATGAATGTGTAGGAGTATTTTCAAGGTGTTTTCATGGCAGGCACTAGCACAGAGTGTCCTCAGGCATGATGAAATCAGTGGCAACAGAAGATGGTGACAATACCATCTTTTTGCTTTTACACCCAGACTGGGGGGATGGACACAGGCAAAAGCAGTAAAAATTTGTTAGTGCAGGATCGACCCTCCATTTATTATAGTTGCTAACTAGGGGTTTTCTATCCTGTGATCCACTGCATGGATAGGCAATAAGGGCTTTGAAAGCAAAGATGTTCATTGTGTCAGAAAATGTGAGGACATCAATAAATATAAAGGAGAGTGTAAAGAAAACAGAGCCAGACTCTTTTCAGTGGTGCCCAGTGACAGGACCAGAGGCAATGGGCACAAATTGAAACACAGGAGGTTCTCTCTGAACATCAGAATATGCTCTTTTACTGTGAGGGTGACTGAGTGCTGGCCCAATTTGCCCAGAGAGTCTGTAAAGTCTCCGTCTTTTGAGATAATCAAAAGCCACCTAGACATGGTCCTAGACAGCCTGCTCTAAGTGTTCCTGCTTGAGGAAGTGGGTTGAATGAGTTGACCTCCAGAGATCCCTTCCAACCTCAACCGTTCTGTGATTCTGTGACATAAAGGGTCTCAGTCTCCCTATAGCAGTGATTGTTCATGTCTTGCAATCAAACCAGGGTGCCTGTAATAAATGGTCTGAGTTCCTCTTGTTTAAAAGTAGAGACCAGATTTACTAGTAGCAGCTGGCAGTAGTTGTATTAGCAGACACATGTGCTCTAGCCACCCATAAACTCTACTGCCAGTGCACAGTTTTTATCTAAAATGATTTTCTGTGTAGCTCCCAGAGAAGAAACATTTATAAAGTGGCCAGGGAGTATTTCTTTAGAAAGTTGGAACTGGTGTGAATTACAGGAATAAATGCTGTTGTGTCCAGTTTCAGGAAAGTACTAACTTGTGAGACAGTGTAACAATATCTAATTTTCACATAAATCCTCTCTTATGAAGTTTTTCTAAGAATCCTATAAAAGAAAAAAAAATTAGATGAAATCATAATCTTGCCTTCAACTGGGACGAATTTCTGCTGTGGGCTTAACTTTGACAATATGTGCTCTAAAAATGGGAACAAATTGCCAGGAGGATGGGTAATTGGCTGTATCCTTGTGAGAGGGTTCTCTAATTTTCCCAGAGTGCTTTTGTTACAGATAATAAGCTTGACAGTTTATGTGGGAAATAAACACTTGTTCTCTTCCTAGTGTAAGGAACATGACCTGGCCACAATTAACCAGTTGCTAGAGGACCCAAAGTTGACAGCAATGAAGTACAGAGAGTGGAGGAACACAAACATCATGCTGGTCCAAGATATCTATCAGCAGCAGGACATGTCCACAGAGAATACCGAGGAGCGAGAGATGACTCCACAGCCTATTGTTGAAAGTGCCATCTGAGACTGGGTTTCAATGGTTCATGGCAAGATTTTTCCCCACGGGTCTTCATGTAAAGGCACTTTAAACTGGTGCATTTTGAGATTTGTTTTTTTTCCCCAAGTGTTCTTTGAAAGGAAAACAACTCCTGCTCCAGAGCTTTAATTCATCTTGCAAGACTTACTTCATGTCAAAAGGGCACTTCTAAATTTAAAAAGCATGCCTGGACCTGGACTGCATACCTAAGAAAACAGCAAAGAAAAGTTTTTCCATCCTGGGCGAAGTAAATTAAATATGTCCAACTCCTGGAAGTCACAGAACTGTATAATCTGAACTGTATAAATGTGAGGTCCTTGGGGTTGTTTAACTATGTAACTTACTGTTAAAGGAAGTTACAACAATGCCAACAGGACGTAGTCTACTCTCTACCTTTCTTACCTGTATGGTAACATGATGTATGCATTTTCATCTCTACATCATTCACTTTCACCACTCTACCAGTTTAAACTGAGACAAACAGAATAGTAATTATGCATGAGTTTATACTACAGACAGCTGTCAGGCACCCAGTTTGTGCTCTGCCTGATGTTTAACGAGTTTTGGTTTATTTATGGATTAGACCAAGTTACTGTCTTTCTACCTGAAGAAGAAAAGGTCTCTCAATGTTTGCTAACATGTAATTTACTCTTCAGTGAGGCAGCTAATGCTTCAGCAAGTTTCAACTTTTCATATGGACTTGGCAGAATTCCTTGGAAAATTATTTTCTTCTTTCTTATTTTTGACAATTGTTAATATATAAGGTACAACTTCATCCGGGATTTCTACTTATGAAGGTGATCAAGTTCACAAGGCACAAGCTAAATAACTAAATTCCTGCTGTGGACCTGAAAGTGTAAAACATAGCTGCAAATGCTTTTGTAAATATATGTCATTTTATGGCTTATATGAATATGACAATGTATTGTATATATGTTTTATTTATATATTTATATATGCTGAATTTCCTAATGTGGATGGGCACACATGGACCAGACTGCCCCAGAAGAGAGCACTTGCAGGCTGACTTGAAATGCCTCTTTTTTTTTTTCTTTCTTGTTCCATTATGAATCACAGTAATGGCTCTGCAACTGAGACTACCCTGGGGCATCTGCTATAACATTTTCTTCTGTCTTTCTAACTTTGAATTTTAGACGAAGAAAATCTGTACAACTAAGGACAGGAAAATAATATTTCTAGAAAGTTTTAGGACTTGTCTTTGGGCAACCAAAAATAAGTATGTTAAGAGGTTTTGCTGCAGGATCATAACTTTTTGGCTTCATTGTCCTCAGTACAAGGTTTGGATTATTTGGCTTCCCATCTTCTGCAAGTGTACAAGTATAAGGAACTTTGCAGAATGCTGAATTTTGAAAAACAAGAATTAGCCTATCATTCTCAAATGAATGCCTCTCCAGGAACTGTGGCAATCCTAACTTCTGTTGGCTATTTAGTAAAGATATTCTTTAAAACAAAAAGTCAATAGGGTTAATGGGAACATACGAAAACTTTTCCACCTGTGTAGTGATGTCTAACTGATGATATTGCATTTTTAACACTCAGCAGCTTTTTTTTTTCTTTTTAGAGACATGGAATTATGTCCAAAAATGGCAGTTAAGGCTGTGTAGAGTGTGAGAACTGAGGAGTCAGATGGTAAGCTATACCAAAGGGGAAATAGAAGGAAGAATGTAGTCTCCTTTGATACAGGCATTAATGGAAGAGGGTCAGGAGAAACAGGGGCTAGTTAAATGCAGAAGCAAGGGTATGCTTGGGATAGCATCTCTGCCTCAGGTATAAAAGGGTTTAGGAGTGTGAGGGTAAGGGCTGCTATTGGATCAGGACTTAAGAACTGGGGCTAGTCTGCTGCTGGGGAACAAATGTTAGCTGAGACCTGAAAGTGGGTGACAATGACAAGATGAGGAAGCTGACATAAAACCCAGGATAGTTAAAAAGCTATTATGTTCAGGAAATTGTCATATGAGTGGTGATTTTATCATTTCAGTAATTCTGACTGAAAGTTGACAGAAATTAAGTAAGCTCAATATCTGTTGCAGTTTGGTTTAGAGTAATAGCTTCCTAAAAATTGAGTCCACTTTAAGGTTTTTTTATCTTTCACCATTCCCAGAAGACCTTCTGGACAGTGGACATCTGTGAGTATCCCACTTCTGAATGAAATGCTTCAAAGCAGATGTGTAGGTGTGAGAGGGATGGCCCCTGAATTTGACATTATTTCAATTAACTGCTAAGTACATGCTCAAAGGAGTGTAAGGATTAATCTACTTGCTCCATCTCAATTTTAACAACTGAGCATTAAATAATTGATAAATAATTGAAGTTGAATTGAATGCACACTTCAGATTTTCTCTTGCAGGTGCAGACCATTCTGTTTCTCATGAAACAAAGCATGCAAACAGCATTTTTCTTCAAACACATCTTTACTTAAATCTTGAAAACAAGCATGTGCTTAAACAGCCTGTCAAACTGAGCCAGACTAGTCAGTTCAGAGCAAAGTCCTAATCAGCTCCATTTGCTGAAGTAGATTTGCACTATACAATGGAAAGCACTTTGTGGCCAGCACACACTGTGTTGGCCCTTTACACGTTATGCTTGTATAAGCATATACGAAACAGGTTTCCCAAATACAGAGGCAGACAAATGTCCTTGAACCACCCAAACTCTACTATTGGTTTTGATAAGATTACATAGCCTAAAATAGCTTTTAAATTACTGTCTTTCAGATGGTGAGTAGATACTTATTGTTGAACTACTGAGTTTTTGAGAACCTGCTCAGGACAGGCTGTATCACTGTCTTTGGAAATAACAGGCAATTCTTGAAAGGGATTATTTTAATGCAGTTGTTATTTTAACAAATTTCTGTGTGTTTAAGAAAACAAATGTATAAGTTTTATGCAAAAGCACTGCTGGGATTCTGTCTCCATTCTCTTCAGCTACTATTTAGACCCAAAACAGATAGAAAGTTTGGGAAATATGAAGTGAAAATTGTAGTGAAACAGGATTCATTTTCCATCACTGTCAATTAATGTAGCAGTTTTCACCTGGTGCTGGGTTCATCACAAGAGACTGTGCAGCAACATGAAAGCCACAGTAGGAGAAAGAAGTGGACAAACTGGTGGCTACAGCTGGTGCATGCAGTGAGGAACCACCTCTGCTGGAGAAACTTGGACAGGTCTGTGCTCCGCTCAGCAAAACTGAGGGTAAATGGTATCTGTTGACCTGAATTTGGAAGGCCTGCACTACTGACTCACAGTGTAGAGGAAACTCTGCATCCCTAGTGAATATCTAGTCTTTAACCATCTGCCTCATGGGACTTGTTTTATGTACTTTTTCAGGAGAAAATATGTGTATGTATGGATGTGTGCACATGCACACTTATTCCCTTGTCAGTAAAGACTTTTGGTGTTGATGCAGCTGTTGATCCAGCTATACAGATGCTGGAGTAACTACAACAATATCTAATTTCAGCTGTTTCTGCAGTCTGTCTCTGGTGGCTTTTCTGGAAATCAAATCTCTCTGTTCTGGTGGTATAGATCTCACGAGCTACGAGAATGAGCTGAGATCACATTTCCTTTCCTAAGATGAGAGAGGTTTCACGTAGGGACAGTGAATCAATTTTGCATCTAGTTCTGATGATTTACTCAGTACTGGGTTTTACTTGAAGAAGGAATAAGTTATATGTTACAACCTGGTGTGTTTTTTTTTCAGGTAATTTTCTTTTTAGAGAAAACTTTCATATTGATGGAAAAAGCTATTTCGGAACAGCCAGAAAGGGAGAGGGAGAGAAGAGGTGGTATTTGATTTAAAACTATGTAGAATTTCAGAATTCAAAATTATTTCTAACTAGGAAAAATTATGGGCATGCTGCATCTGCTATGTGAGCCTGTAAGCTTACATGTCTATTGCAGATATAATATAAAAACTTGTATTTTTTTAATTCTTAAAGTAGCAAGAGAGTCCATGTAAGCATACTTCCATGTGGGGAACTCAATGTACCATGGTTGAGGTTGGAGTTTTGAGGTTTTTTTCTTTGTTTTGCTTTTTTGGTGGTTAAAAAGTGACCAGTTGCAATGAGAGCCTGGGCTTACTTCATTTATGATAGAAATGTCTTTCTCTTAACAGGAAGCCAAAGTGGTTTTCTTGTAGTAGTAGAGCCAAAGCGGTATTTCCTGTTTTGTGTGGGGCATTTTGAAGCAGCAGACATTTTAAGGTGTCAGTCAGCATTTCCCTCACTGCTTGAAGATTTATCCCATTTTGTTCTGCTCCAAGTCACCGTATTCTTGCATTTGTAAGAACCAGCTTCATTATTAACTAAAACAAAAAATGAGAAGAAAAAAAGAAAAGCAAAAACAGAACAGAAAAGCTCTGAGCTAAGATCAGTCTAAAAGTCTTTTCTCTGCACATAAGTGTAATGGGAGCTAAGCTTGCCAGAAGCTAGGCATTTCAACACTGAAAAAAAATTGTCAGGTGTTCAGGAAAGTACTACAATCCTTGAAATTTGCTATGGGAGAAGTTCCAAGACCTGTCTGCTCTGGAAAAATGAATTATTTTCTAATTTATTTCCTTCTGGTAAAATTCCAAAGAGGAGTGGCTTATAAGCTGTCAGAAAGTTAAAAATGAATTATGCATGTAATTCATTGATAGTTCATCAACCTTGATATGATTGACTTTAGATGACTCAGCCTTTAACACAGAAAATCCATTTCTTTAGGAAACCATTGTAGCTACTACAGTGTTTGAGTCTTATGTACCCCATCAGGCCCACATGAGGTTCATTTTTGAGGATGTAAGTGTATGGTATTTCTACAGGGCAAATAGCTTACTCCTCAGACCATAGCTTAGAAACCATGTGAACTTTAAAGCTCCCTATGCCCTATATGCCTTAGGACCTACTAAGGTAGGTCCAAAATAGTGTGACTCCTGCAGTTGCTTACTGCAGATTTACCTTCCCCCCCCCCCCCCCGCCTCCCTCTG